GTTTAAGCCTTTGATCATTCATTTACTCTCCACTTGTAGCAGTGTTTTCGTGTAGATGGCAAATAAGTGATTACTGACTTTATATAGATATATTTGTCAGGTATATTACATCTGATCACTAATAGTATTTTAGATTTTTTATCTTTTGATATGAAGTCTCGCTCTATTGCCCAAGCTGGAGTGCAGTGGCATGATCTCAGCTCACTGTAACCTCTGCCTTCTGGGTTCAAGCGATTTTCCTGCGTCAGCCTCCTGAGTAGCTGGGATTATAGACACATGCCACCATGCCTGGCTAATTTTTATATTTTCAGTAGAGACAGGGTTTCATCGTGTTGGCCAGGCTGGTCTCTAACTCCTGACCTCAGGGAGACCCACTCAGCCTTTTTTTTTTTTTTTTTTTTAATTTAAATGAAGTCTCACTGGGTCACCCAGGCTGGAGTGCAGTGGTGCAGTCTTGGCACCCTGCAGCTTCCATATTCCGGGTTCAAGCTATTCCACCTTAGCCTCCCAAGTAGCTGGGATTACAGGTGACCACCACCACAACTGGCTAATTTTTGTATTTTTAATAGAGACAGGATTTCACCATGTTTGCCAGGCTGGTCTCTAATTGACTTCAAGTGATCCACTTGCGTTGGTGTCCCAAAGTGCTGGGATTACAGGCATGAGCTACTGCACCTGGCCCTATTTTATTTGATAGCCTAAAAGGGTATTCTTGTGAATGTTTGTTTTTTTTCTCTGTTTATTTGCATTTGCTTTAGGTTAATAGTGTTTTCTTCAGATGCAAAAGACATATGTAGGGATATTTGTTTTTATCTGCATTAACTCCATTCATTTTACATGAGCTGTCTTTTCAAAATCGGACAGGAGAGTAATGAATCCCAATGTACTCATCACCCAGTGTGAATAATTCTCAACTCCTGACTACTTGTTATGTCTGAATTCCTGCACTTTATCTAATATTCCTGCATATTATTTTGACACAAGTATCTGACATCATATCATTTTGTCTGTAAATATTTAGTGTATATCTCTAAAAGATCAGGATACTTGAAAATCAAAATAACCATTATCACATCTAAAAAAATAGTAATATCTTAACATCACTCGATGTGCAGGTTGTTTACTTTTCCAAATGGAAATGAGCACCTTTTGAAGAACATAACTTTCAAACTCTCTGGTACAGACTGCAGTTTTTTTTTTGTTTGTTTGTTCTTTGAGAAGGAGTCTTGCTCCAGTGCCCAGTTAGGAGTGCGGTGGTGCTATCTTGGCTCACTGCAATCTCTGCTTCCTGGGTTGAAGCAATTCTCCTGCCTCAGCCTCCCAAGTAGTTGGGATTATAGGTGCCTGCCACCACGCCCAGCTAATTATTTGTATTTTTAGTAGAGAGGGAGTTTCATCATACTGGCCAGGCTGGTCTTGAACTCCTGACCTTGTGATCCACCTGCCTTCCCTCCCAAAGTGCTGGGATTACAGGTTTGAGCCACCACGCCCGGCCGCCTATGTTCTTTTACTTAATTCTTACAACAACATCCTTAAGTAGGTACGTTCATGTCCCGTTTTATAGATGAAGAAATGAAGGCTTAAAAAGGCTAAATAAAGTCCTTTGAGAACCTAAGTAATTTGCCCATATTCACACTAGAAATCCAGGATGTTAGATGAAAAATTCTGTTGGCAGGGCTGGTGAAAATGCAAATTGCCATAACCCCTGTAGAGGGGAATTGGCAGTATTACATTCACCTTTACCCCTCGTGTCAGTAATGCTAGCAATGCTCTTTATGAATGCACCCCAAAGATAATATTGGCAAAATATACAGAGAGATACCTGTACATGGCTGTTCATAGCTAAACTGTTTGTAATGGTTAAAAGACTAGAAACAACTCAGATGTCTGCCATTAAATAAGCCATGATACATCCACACACACTGAAGTACTATGTAGGTTTTTTGTTTGTTTGTTTTGTTTTTTTGAGATGGAGTCCCACTCTGTTGCCCAGGCTGGAGTGCAGTTATGCAGTCTGGGTTCAGTGCAACCTCGAGCTCCTAGGTTCAAGCAATTCTCGTGTCTCAGCCTCCCCAGTAGCTGGGACTATAGGCATCTGTCACCACACCCAGCTAATTTTTGTATTTTTAGTAGAGACAGGGTTTCACCTTCTTGGTCAGGCTGGTCTCAAACTCCTGACCTCAGATAATCCACCTGCCTCGGCCTCCCAAAGTGCTGGGATTACAGATGTGAACCACTGTGCCTGCCCTTTTTTTTTTTTCTTTAAGAGAGATGGGGTCTCACTTTGTTGCCCAGGCTGGAGTGTAGTGTGCGATCCTAGCTGATTGCCACCTTGAAGTCTTGGGCTCAAGTGACTCTCCTGCCCAGGCTTCCAAATAACTGGGACTACAAGTGCACACCACCATGGCCGGCTAATTATTTTACTTTTTGTAGAGATGAGGTCTTTCTTTGTTGCCCAGGCTGATCTCAAACTTCTGGCTGCAAGAGATTCTACTGCCTCAACCTCCCAAAGTGCTGGGATTTACAGGCCTGAGCCACTGTGCCTGGCCTATGTTGTTGTTTTTAAAAAGGAATGTGTACACTCTGGCTGATGGCCATAATAGGAGACAAAAGCCAAGTAAAGAAACAGTAAGTTGGGAGGCCGAGGCGGGTGGATCACGAGGTCAAGAGATTGAGATCATCCTGGTCAACATGGTGAAACCCCATCTCTACTAAAAATACAAAAAATTAGCTGGGCATGGTGGTGCGTGCTTGTAATCCCAGCTACTCAGGAGGCTGAGGCAGGAGAATTGCCTGAACCCAGAAGGCGGAGGTTGCAGTGAGCTGAGATCGTGCCATTGCACTCCAGCCTGGGTAACAAGAGCGAAACTCTCAAAAAAAAAAAAAAAAAAAGGAAACAGTATGTTTCACGTAAGAATGGAAGAATGGAGTGGGCATACAAATAAATACATATCAGCTTATGTACTTAAAGATAGGTGGATAACCCATAAAAATAATCATTATATGTAGGAGATAGTAAGGGACAGGGGTAGAATTTAACCGATTTCTGAACCTATCATGTTTTGTAGATTTGACTTTGGAACCCAGAAAGTGGGTTTACATAATTATAAAATAAAACCAAACCAAAAAATTTTAAAACCTTAAAAGTGAAAGTCAAGGCGGGGCGCGGTGGCTCAAGCCTGTAATCCCAGCACTTTGGGAGGCCGAGGCGGGTGGATCACGAGGTCAAGAGATCGAGACCATCCTGGTCAACATGGTGAAACCCTGTCTCTACTAAAAATACAAAAAATTAGCTGGGCATGGTGGTGCGTGCCTGTAATCCCAGCTACTCAGGAGCCTGAACCCAGGAGGCGGAGGTTGCAGTGAGCCGAGATCGCGCCATTGCACTCCAGCCCGGGTAACGAGCGAAATTCCGTCTCAAAAAAAAAAAAAAAAAGTGAAAATCAAAAGGAAACATATGGACCAAATGTGTGTCAAATTGGTAGCATAACTACACAGGAATTATTTTAAAAGTGTCCTTTAAACAGTAATTTGGGGCTGGGTGCGGTGGCTCACGCCTGTAATTGCAACACTTTGGGAGGCTGAGGCAGGCGGACCACTGGAGCACAGGAGTTGAAGACCATCTCTACAAAAAATAAAAAAATTCACCAGGCATTGTGGTACATACCTGTGGTCCCAGCTACAGGGGGTGTTGAGGTGGGAGGGTCACTTGATCCCAGGAGGTTGAGGCTACAGTCTGCCGTGATTGCGCCACTATACTCCAACCTGGGTGCCAGAACAAAAACTTGTCTCAAAAATAAAAAGTTCATAAAAAAGAAAGCTAGGGTTTAATCCATATGTAGGTGACCCCAAAATGTTAGCTCTTAACCATTGCACAATTGTTTCCCATAATGTGGTTATATCACCATGTGACGGGATTTCTGTGGCACCTAGAAAGGACTTTTTATTTTAATAGCTAAGTATTTATTTTAACATTACCTTCTATTTGTGGTAAGAAAACTACTGGAAGTTTCCATTTAAGAGTTTTCTACTTAAAAGTATGCTGATATATAAAAGTGTGCTGATAGTAAGCATACTTTTAAAATAAAAGTAAGTAAAAAAATGGGCTTAAAGAAAAACAGGTTGGCCAGGCATGGTGACTTATGCTTGTAATCCCAGCACTTTGGAAGGCCGAGGTGGGTGGATAACCTGAGGTCAGGAGTTCAAGACCAGCCTGGCCAACATGGTGAAACTCTATCTCTACTAAAAATACAAAAAATTAGCCGGGCGTGGTGGCAGATGCCTGTAATCCCAGCCACTCAGGAGGCTGAGGCAGGAGAATCACTTAGACCTGAGAGGCGGAGTTGCAGTGAGCAACAGGGCAAGACTCTGTCTCAAAAAAAAAAAAGAAAAATGGTTCATAAATAATAGTACTGGTAGAATTGAGATATGACAAATATTGTATGGCATGACAAAGTTGGAATCTTTACTAGGCTTTACTGACTCTATTGGTGTGAATGATGAAATAAACATTTAATAAGCTTTCCTTATATCCCTAATATCCACATTTTATCGCAGATCCTTTTGAAAAAAGAAATATTTTACATAAAACCGTGTGTGTGTGTGTGTGTGTGTGTGTGTGTATCTATATGTTTTCAAAGGCCTTAACCATTATAAGAAAGTACAGGCCAGGCGTGGTGGCTTATGCCTGTGATCTCAGCACTTTTCAAGGGAGGCGGGCAGATCACCTGAGGTCGGGGGTTTGAGACCAGCCTGACCAACATGGAGAAACCCTGTCTCTACTAAAAATACAAAATTAGCTGGGCGTGGTGGCACATGCATGTAATCCCAGCTACTTGGGAAGCCGAGGCAGGAGAATCGCTTGAACCTGGGAGGTAGAGGTTGCTGTGAGCCAAGATCATGCCATTGTACTCCAACCTGGGCAACAAGAGCAAAACTCCATCTTAAAAAAAAAGAAATTACAGATAATTTTTTTTTTTTTATTGTTGTTGTTGTTACAGAATGTCATACCCAGGCTATCCCCCAACAGGCTACCCACCTTTCCCTGGATATCCTGTAAGTATTGCCACTTAAAATACTAAAATACTTCACATCCTTAAAACAGGTGTTTGGGACTGGACTATGTCAGATCTTATAGATATACTAGAACAGGGGTTATAAACTCAAATGCTCAAGATACTGAATAGAACAAGTGAGTGAAGGCAGTTGTGTGGGGGTCTAGAAAGGCGTCGCTTTGTCTGTGGAAAGTTGGCAGGTGCTTAGCACCATCCCTCCCTGTGTAGCCATAGAGGGAGGCACACTCAGTATTGCTAGATAATTTTAGCCCTTCAAGTAAAGTCAGAAACTCGGGTTCTATGTGAAATTACCCCAAGTTTCAAAATTTAGGAGTAAGCTTTAAAAAATGTTAACTGCTCTATGACCCGATAAAACATGGATATAAGCTAAAGCTGTCCCTTGAATCACTGGCTCTTTTTTTTTAATACCCTTGAGTCATAGTATCACTGCTTCTTAACCTTTGTGTTAGAATGTTTAAAATAATTAAGGGTGTGGCTTGACCCAGAGATAAATTGCAGTGAATTTATAGTTCTGAGACTTGGAGTACATTTTATAAATGTGCTACTAAGTTTCACCTTGTTGATAGCTATACTACTCTGAGGACTAAGAGCTGAGCCATAAGTAAGAGTTGTGCATTTCAGGTTTTTTTTTTTTAATTATTTTTTTCTTTTTTTGAGATAAAGTCTTGCACTATGCCCAGGTTGGAGTGCAGTGGCATGATTTCAGCTCATTGCAGCGTCTGCCTCCTGGGTTCAAGTGATTCTCCTGCCTCAGCCTCCTGAGCAGCTGGGATTACAGGCACCTGCCACCATACCTGTCTAATTTTTGCAGTTTTAGTAGAGATGGGGTTTTACCATGTTGGCCAGGCTGGTCTCAAACACCTGACCTCAAATCTGTTCATCTAGGCCTCCCAAAACATTGGGATTATAGGTGTGAGCCACTGCACCTGGGCGCATTTCAGTTTTTTTATTTTTTATTTTTTTTGAGATGGAGTCTTGCTCTGTCACCAGGTTGGAATGCAGTGGTGCGATATTGGCTCACTGCAACCTCTGCCTCCTGGTTTCAAGCAATTCTCCTGCCTCAGCCTCCTGAGTAGCTGGGATTACAGGTATGTGCCGCCACTCCCAGCTAATTTTTGTGTTTTTAGTAGAGATGGGATTTCACCATGTTGGCCAGGATGGTCTTGATCGTCTGACCTCATGATCTGCCTGCCTTGGCCTCCCAAAGTGATGGGATTACAGATGTGAGCCACCATTCCCGGCCTGCATTTCAGTTTTATACTCATAACTGTAGGTCTGCTATCCAACCCTGGGAGAATTGGAAGAGGGGTCTATACAAGTTTATGATAACAAGTGTATCCTTACGCAAAGTGATTATATAGTGCTGGTGAATTTATCATAGGAGAGATGAGAATTATGGCTATGTTCCCAAGTCTCTGCATATTAAACAGGGCTCTAGTAACCATTTCAGTCAGTGTAGGCTCATTGCTAAAACAGACAACTCCCAAATTTCAGTGACTTCACAATGAAAAAAATGTATTTTTTTTCTTCTGCCTCCTGTAAGTCAGTGGTGGCTAGCAGGTGGGAGGGACGAAGCTTTGTTTCATGTAGTGTTTTGGGTTCCCAGGCTCTTTCCTTATTCTGATCCTACCATCCTCTAGCACTTTGGAGTCCTCTACTGGATCCTCTGCTTATGGTGGCAAATGAAGGAAGAGAGCATGGAGGATTAGGCAGAAGGTTGTTTTTTTTTTTTTTTTTTTGAGATGGAGTTTTGCTCTTGTTACCAAGGCTGGAGTGCAATGGCTTGATCTCGGCTCACCGAAACCTCCGCCTCCTGGGTTCAGGCAATTCTCCTGCCTCAGCCTCCTGAATAGCTGGGATTACAGGCACGCGCCACCACACCCAGCTAATTTTTTGTATTTTTAGTAGAGACGGGGTTTCACCATGTTGACCAGGATGGTCTCGATCTCTTGATCTCATGATCCACCCGCCTCGACCTCCCAAAGTACTGGGATTACAGGCTTGAGCCGCCGTGCTCGGCCTGGGCAGAGGTTTTTAGGGGACAAGTTTAGGAAGTGGTGTATATCACTTCTGTCTGCATTCATTCACTGATACTCATTCACGTAGTCCAACCTAACTGCAAGGGGCTCTGAGAAATGTAGTCTCTACAGCTTTGTGGCCTGGGGAGAAAGAGTTCATTGAACATGTAACAGTCTCTTCCACTCTGCATATTGTCTGCTCTGAACTATGAAGTCCAAAATGTCACAGTCTGTGTGTGATGTAATATACAGGTTACCTTTTTTATTTTTAAATATTGTGTAACATATCCAGATGTGTTGCAAGAGAGCCTCAAATTCCTCTCTTTAGGTAGAAAGGAGGATCTTTCTCATATTTGTAGATTCTGGGTAAATGAAGGAACTAAGGAGTTTTGTTAGTTTTTCTTGAATCCTTGAGGTTTGTGAAGAACCCCGTCTTGACTCCCAAATAGAGAAGCAGACCCCTCTTGCCTGACTCAAGTAGAATTAAATTTAACTGAATTCTGACAAACAAGTGTCCTTACAAACTGGTATACTGATAAACTAGTATAAGATACCAGGATTTCAGCCGGGCACCATAGCTCGTGCCTGTAATCCCAGCACTTTGGGAGGCTGAGGTGGGTGGATCATCAGGTCAGGAGATGGAGACCATCTTGGCCAACATGGTGAAACCCCGTCTCTACTAAAAATACAAAAATTAGCCGGGCATGGTAATTCATGCCTGTATGTCCAGCTTTTCAAGAGGCTGAGGCAGAAGAATTGCCTGAACCCAGGAAGTGGAGGCTGCAGTTAGCTGAGATCGTGTCCGTGCACTCTAGCCTGGAGGACAGAGTGAGATTCTGTCTCAAAAAAAAAAAGATACCAGGATTTTTAATTGGACTTTTAAAAAATAAAAGAGTGAGCTAGACCTTAATAGTAACCTCTGTTTGTTCCTTATTTTTAAATCGGTCATGTTTCTCTGTGATCACTTTTGTTTAAAAATTATTCGGATTTTTCAGCCTGCAGGTCAGGAGTCATCTTTTCCCCCTTCTGGTCAGTATCCTTTTCCTAGTGGCTTTCCTCCAATGGGGGGAGGTGCCTACCCACAAGTGCCAAGTGGTGGCTATCCAGGAGCTGGAGGCTACCCTGCGCCTGGAGGTTATCCAGCCCCTGGAGGCTATCCTGGTGCCCCACAGCCAGGGGGAGCTCCATCCTATCCGGGAGGTAAGTTATGGATTGTGGAATTAGTAATGATTTGGGATTGCGGTAGCATTTTTTCCTTCTCCCTTTATCCTCTTTATTCCTGCTTATTTTATATGAGGTCAGAGTCACTCTTAGCTAACCTTAGATAGTAAGGACCTAGCTGGCAAGTTGGAGATGAGGATTCTCAGGGGACATGAAAGCTGGGAGCAGTTACAAAAATTCAATTATGAAGGGACTTAGAATAAATTTTATGACATTAAAGGACCAATTTGTAACACTTTGCTTGTTTGTAGTCTTAAGACATTTCACTTAGCAAGACTGTGACTTTTAGGTCGGCTTTAACCAGAGGTAATCCCCTACCGCCCCACCAAAAAAATACTAGCACTTTTGTATTTTAAGTTAGTAAGGAAGATTAATAAAGTAAAATGTTGGCTGGATGTGGTGGCTCATGCCTGTAATCCCAGCACTTCTGGAGGCCAAGGTGGGTAGATCACTTGAAGCCAGGTGTTCAAGATCAGCCTGGCCAACATGGTGAAACCCTGTCTGTACTAAAAATACAAAAATTAGCTGGGTGTGGTGGTGCATGCCTGTAATCATAGCTACCTGGGAGGCTGAGGCCGGAAAATCACTTAAACTTCGTAGGTAGAAGTTGCAATGAGCTGAGATTGCGCCACTGCACTCCAGCCTGGGTGACAGAGTGAGACTCTTTCTCAAAAAAAAAAAAAAAAAAATGCTGGCCATCGTGGCACATGCCTGTAGTCCTATCTATGGCAGGCTAAGGTGGGAGGATTGCTTGAGCTGAGGCATTCAAAGCTGTAATGAGCCAGATTGTGCCACTGCACCCCAGCCTGGGTAACAGAGAGGGACAGTCTCTTAAAAAAAAAAAAAAAAAAAAAAAAAGTAAAATTTTACAAACTTTTTTTTTTTACCAGAGACATTGATGTTTTGAATTTAGATAAAAAGGGGCCTGCTATTACAGCATTAATAGCATATTTTTTCCACTGTTAACAATAAACATTTTTCTAAAGTTTTTCTGCAATCACAAGAACTGTAATATAGTTTATTGACCTATTCTTTAGTTCCTCCAGGCCATGGATTTGGAGTCCCACCAAGTGGAGCAGGCTTTTCTGGCTATCCACAGCCACCCTCACAATCTTATGGAGGTGGTCCGGCACAGGTCCCACTACCTGGTATGTACCAGCCAACCAGAGAAAAACGGTATTATCATATTTTGAATTTTTAAATTGCCATTGAGAAAATTTAGTTTATATTTGAGATAATCTTTAATAAATATATATTTCTATAATTTTAAACATAATGGTTTTATGAAATATATTAAATTGATAGAAAAGTTTAATCGGTAAAATAGAGATAAGGTCACACTTTTTCTATTAAAACAATCTGTCCCAAAGCCAAAAAGGAAGCTTTCAGGAACTTCTCTGCCCACTCCTGTACCACAAGTGAAACCACCTCCAGAACCATATTCTGACAACCATTCCAGATGGAATCAGAATTTAATCTGGCTCAAGTGTGAAAAAGTATTATTTGTGAGGATCTTACGTAGAACATGGAATATTAAAAAGGTTTTTTTGACCAAAGTTGGTTTTAGATTCAGTAAGTATAATATTTTTAAAAATTATCCTCATGAATATCATAGTGTGAATGTTCTTGTATGTTTCCATATTCGTAGTCATCAATGCTGTTTTGAAAAATTAAAACTTATAAGACCTGTTGCTATATTATTATTTTTTTAACATACAGGTGGCTTTCCTGGAGGACAGATGCCTTCTCAGTATCCTGGAGGACAGCCTACTTACCCTAGTCAGGTATTTTGTTCCTACCTTTTAAGCTCAGTCTAGGTAGCTAGATAAAGAAGGAACTGTTCCTTTGCTGAGGTTTCCATGGATCAGAGGAAATGGTCCATTATAGTAATGGAAGACTTTAATCTTTGGTTGTGATAGACTCCATACTTTCTTCAGTCTATCTGCTTTAATAGTGTCCCGATGACTTTGAGAAGACAAGCATAGGTTCATCTCATAGGTAATGATTCTCATAACTTTATCCTACTGATGCACCTGGGCTCTTGGTTTTAGATCTTTTTCTTATTCCTGCCCTTACCAGCAGTTATACCTATAAATTTGGGTGGCTGGTTTTAGTATTTCTGACAGTGATTTATGGTAGGGTGGTTTCGTTTCCTATTTTTACCTTATACCTTTTCACTCTTTTTTTCAGATCAGTACAGAATCTTTTCCTTCCTATCCTGTTTTCTCTCATGTTTCTTTGGATTGTAGCAGTGAAGTGAGTAAGGTTTTCTAATGTTCATTAATCACTAGGTCCTTTATATGTGCCTTTGTTTCTGATTCTCATGTACTTTTTCTGTCACTACATCCTTAAGGGCTCAGCTGTCTGTTTGATCTTTATGTTCCTGTAATGGTTGGTAGGGCTTTAGACATGGTAGCCAGTTAAGTCTGTTCAGTGGATTTTCTCAGTAGCTGCAGAGTTTCCCATATATCCAGTCTTGGTCCTATGGCTTCTTTTTTTTTGAGATGGAGTTTTGCTCTCGTCACCCAGGCTGGAGTGCAGTGGCATGACCTCGGCTTACCGCATCCTCCACCTCCTGGGTTCAAGTGAGTAGCTGGGATTACAGGTGCCTGCTACCATGCCTGGAAAATTTTTTGTGTTTTTAGTAGAGATGTGGTTTCACCATGTTGGCCAGGCTGATCTCAAACTCCTGACCTCAGGTGATCCACCCACCTCGGCCTCCCAAAGTGCTGGGATTACAGGCATGAGCCACTGTGTCTGGCCTGGCTTCTTATTTTAATCCTAAATTTTATTCTTAAATTGCCTTGTTTTTTTTTTCCTGCTTCACAATCTATTTTTGGCATTAGAGCCTTGTTAATTCTTTTATAGACTATGGAAGTTACTAGGAACATAATAAGCAGTATACTTCTATGCTTACCCTTATCTTGATTTTTTTTAATTGATTTCTATATTGGATATTCATGAATATCTAGCATTTCAAGTTTGTTTTAGGCTGGGGTAGGAGAAGGATTATAGTACTGGAAGAGAAATACCTTAGTGATTTTTTTTGGCTCACTTTCCTGATTTGAGGCATATTAGCTCCAGAGAGGTTGAGAAACTTGTCTAAGGCCACACAACTAGTGAAGGACAAAGCTGAGAAGATTCTAGTCCACATCTTCTGCCTTCTAGATGAGTGGTTTCTCATATACAGAGCTGCTTTGCTAATATAGTAAATGATATTCCTCCAAAGCACATAGTAAGTTGCTTTCAGTCCTGTTTTTCATTGTTGAAGTTGTTTACCAATCATTCTATAATCATTTTTGTTATGGAAATTTGGATTTTAGTTTAAGCATGCATATAGTTTTAGAGAAATCATTTTATGACTTGAGTGTGAATGATTTTTGTTTTTTGAGACAGAGTCTCACTCTGTCACTAGGCTCCAGGCTGGAGTGCAGTGGCATGATCTCAGCTCACTGCAACCTCCGCCTCCCGGATCCAAGCAATTCTCCTGCTTCAGCCTCCTGAGTAGCTGGGACTACAGGCGTGTGCAACCACACCCAGCTAATTTTTGTATTTTAGTGGAGATGGGGTTTCACTGTGTTGACAAGGATGGTCTCGATCTCTTGACCTCATGATTTGCCCGCCTCAGCCTCCCAAAGTGCTGGGATTACAGGTGTGAGCCACTGCACCCAGCCAATATGAATGACTTTTAGGCATAAAACAGTACAAGTAAAGCACATGTATGTATGCAACTTACTTTATATAGCAATTACCACCTTAAGCTGGAACTAAAACCAATAAGAAGAAGTTAATAGAATACAGAGTGGCAGATTTTGGAAGAGCTTTTATATGGAAGTGAAATAAGCTACCCTGTGAGAGGTGAGCTCCTTGTCATTGAAAGTCCTCAGGAAGATTTTGGTTGATGTAAGTATGGATGTGTCTGTGTGTATCAGGGAAGGTGTAAAAAAAATTTTGTCTGGCTGGGTGCGGAGGTCAAGAGATCGAGACCATCTGGCAAACACGTTGAAACCTCATCTCTATTAAAAATACAAAAAATTAGCTGGGCATGGTGGCACATGCTTGTAGTCCCAACTACTTACGAGGCTGAGGCAGGATAATTGCTTGAACCCAGGAGATGGAGGCTGCAATGAGCTGAGATCATGCCATTGCACTCCAGCCTGGGCAACAAGAGCAATCACCTTCTCAAAAAAAAAAAATTGTTTTAGATAGGCAGTTGGTCCAGTTTACCTCACCTGATTGATCCAGTTCTCAAATTCTGTGATAATTTTCTTGTTGTTTTGTTTGTTTATTTTTGAGACAGGATCTCACTCTCCTGCTTGAGTCAGCTAGAGTACTCTAGCGTGAGTCAGGCTAGAGTACTCTAGAGCGTGATCAAAGCTCAATGCAGCCTCAAAATTCAAGTGATTCTCCTGCCTCAGCCTCCTGAGTAACTGGGACTACAGCATCACGCCCCACCTAATTTTTTTTATTTGTTGCAGACATGAAGGTTTTGCTGTGTTGCCCAGGCTGGTCTTGAACTCCTGGGCTCAAGCAATCCTCCTGCCTCAGCCTCCTGAGTAACTGGAACTACAGCACCATGCCCACCTAACTTTTAAAACATTTTTTATAGAGACAAAGGTTTTGCTTTGTTGCCCAGAGTGGTCTCGAACTCCTGGGCTCAAGCGATCCTACTGCTTCAGCTTCTCAAAGTGCTGGGATTGCAGGTATGAGCCACTGTGCCCAGCCCTATGATAGTTTTTCAGCAAGCAGGTTGGAATCAAATGGGCATCAAAGGGGAATATCAAAAGTCAGAACTTCTGGTAGCAGATTGTGCTGAGAAATCTCCCTTAGAGTTTTAACCTCAAGAACACAGATCCTGATTTCTTTGAATTAAGTTGAATGCCTGGAAGATGACAATATTCGTGAAAATTTGCTTCAAACTTAGACTTTCAACAGAGAAAAAATACATCAAAAAAATTTTCCGCTTCAGATGAAATATGAAATCAATTTTTTTTTTTTAACAAAAGAGAATGACAGAAAATAAGAATCATCAAACAGTACACCATGATGGTTAGTTTATCTAGTCCATTATATTAGAAACAATAGCTTCTGTCCTATTTAGGATTTTAGTGACAGTGGTTACATCAAAGGAAACTTAGTTTCTGGAGACATGAAGGCTTATAAATTTTTTTTTATACTTGAATATTTGCTACAAATGGAATAATTTTAGTTTGTTTTTTTTTAACCACTATAGGAATATTTGTTAGTTCTCTGCTTACAGCCCTAGCTTAGAAAGTAGTAGAGGATGGATGCTAAGGCTTACTGGTAGAAGAAAATGTTGGAATAAAAATACATCTGAGTGGTAGGAGTTATTGACCCATAAAAGTGTTATCTTGAAAAGCTGCTTCAAGATGGTCTTGTTCTTGTCTCCTCGGTTGCTTTGCCCCCACAAGGGCTGGCATGCTGCTGTAGTTGATGTGTATGACTTTAAATACAGTTTCAGTTGCCTAAAAAGCAATTGAATCATCTTACATTTTGAAATGGTATTGATTGCATGTTTAAATGATAATATTTTGGAGGTATTGGATTAAATAAAATGTGTTTGTGTTTTCTGCAGTGAAAACACCTATTTTGCAACAGTAATGTTTATTTTAGGTCAACATTCAGACATACAAGAAATGTGTTAAAATTAAATTTTTTTTTAAAAAAGTAATGCAGTATCATCTTTATCCTATCTCTCTTAAGCCCTGACTTGAATACCCTAAGAAACTTCTTGAATTATTCCGGGCTGGGCACACAGCTGTAATTCTAGCACTTTGGGAGGCCAAGGCAGGGGAATCACTTGAGGCCAGGAATTCAAGACCAGTCTGAGCAACATAACAAGACCCTCCTCCCTACAAAAGTAAAAAAATTAGCTTGGTGTGGTAGCACGTGCCTGTAGTGTTAGTTACTCAGGAGGCTCAGGCAGGAGGATTGCTTGAGAGCAGGAATTCAGGGTTGTAGTGAGCTATGTTTGTGCCACTGTACTCTAGCCTGAACAACAGAGTGAGACCTTATCTCTAAAAAATAAAAAATAGACAAAAACTATTGAATTATTTCATAGCTTTGTATTTTAAAGTTTTATCTTTTAATTTTGACATAATTTTAGACTTGCAAAATAGTACAAATAATTCATATATACGCTTTACTCAGATTCTCCAAATGTTAACTTCCTACATAAATACAATACAATGATGAAAATCAGGGAAGACATTGATACAGTACTGTTACTCAACCTATGGACCTTATTTCAGTTTCACCAGTTGTCTCAGTGATGTCCTTTTTCTGAGTCAGGGTCAAGTCCAGAATGCAATGCTGTATTTATTTTCATGTCTCTGAAGTCTCCTTTAATCTGAAATCATTCTTCAGTCTTTGTTGTTCATCCCCTTGATGCTTTTGAGGAACACTGTCAGTTATTTTGTAAAATATATCTTAATTTGGGTTTGTCTGGTATTTCCTCATGGTTAAATCCATCCTTTTTGGCAAGAATACCACATCAATGATTTTGTGCCAGAGCATTATATCAGGAGGCACTTATTGTTGACTTATTCCACTACTGGTGAAATTAATTTTAATAACTTGTTAAGGGTGGTGTCTGCAATGTTTCTCTGCTGTGATGTTATAAACTATGCAAATATCCTGTTTCTTTATACTTTTGCCACCTAATTTTAGCACCCATTGGTGATTCTTGCCTGAAATAGTAACTACCATAGTATTTGCCAAATGGCGATTTTGAAATTTTCATAGATTTATTTCATGTATAATAATCAGGGTCCATATAGGAAATTAAGAGATATTACTAAAATTCTATTGCTGGTTTGAAATCTCACTGGGCACTCATGTTCTACTTCACTAAAGCCATTTTATATTCTTCTGTTTTTAAGCCCTGCTTAAAAATAAGCCCTGCTAATAAAATGCTCATATCCTTGCCCTAAAACCCAAACATTGGCCTTCTGTACTTCAGAGTGATGTCTGGGGAAGTCTTTACATATCCTCATTAGAAACTTACTGGAAGTGCTGACTTGGATTTTATGCCTTTTATTCTCAGCCTGCCGCAGTGACTCAGGGCGCTCAAGGAACTATCCGACCAGTTGCCAACTTCGATGCTATGAGAGATGCAGAAATTCTCCGTAAGGCAATGAAGGGTTTTGGTAAGGAAAACAAATTTTTGTCTTTTTTAATAAGGTAAAGTGATCAATTCTAAAGTAAAAAGAAACCTTATATCATAAACCAAGTGTATGTGTCAGCCTGGGTGCACGTACCTGAATTTAATCTGGTGACTAGTGCCTTGTAAACATTCTAAGAGATGACCTCAGGCTGGGTGTGGTGGTTCACACCTATAGTCCCAGCACTTTGGGAGGCCAAGGTGAGTAGATCACCTGATTTCAAGACCAGCCTGGCCAACATGGTGAAACCTCATCTCTTCTGGAAAAAAAAAAAAAAAGCTGATTCAGGGTCAAGTCCTGAATCATGCCTGTAATCCCAGCTTCATGGGAAGCTGAGTAAGGAGAATTGCTTGAACCCGGGAGGCAGAGATTGCAGTAAGCTAAGATTGTACCATTGCACTGCAGTCTGGGTGACAAACTCCATCTCAAAAAAAAAAAAGAGAGAGAGAGAGAGAGGACCTCAGGGAGCACCTGGCACATACTTTATCCTTACTTAAACATGTGTGGTTCTTCCAGGGACAGACGAACAGGCGATTGTGGATGTGGTGGCCAACCGTTCCAATGATCAGAGGCAAAAAATTAAAGCAGCATTTAAGACCTCGTATGGCAAGGTATGTTTTTTTTTTTTTCCTGGAGTGAGCACCAGCAGTGGCCAGTAGACTGTACTCATGTCAGATTGGATACTGTCTTTTGATTAGTACCTATGGTGCAAAGGAGGGACAACTAGACTTTAGAGACCTCAAGAGTACTGTATTCCCTATTTATTTCTCTCTTATTTTTTTTTTAGATGAAGTCTTGCTGCAGTGTCCAGGCTGGACTGCAATGGCACAGTCTCGGCTCACTGCAACCTTTGCTTCCTGAGTTCAAGTGATTCCTCCACCTCAGCCTCACTAGTAGCTGGGACTACAGGTGCATACATCATGCTCAGCTAATTGTATTTTAGTAGAGATGGGGTTTCACCATGTTGGCAAGGCTGGTCTCAAACTCCTGACTTTAAGTGATCTGCCCACTTCGGCCTCCCAAAGTGCTGGGATTACAGGCCTGAGCCCCTGTGCCTGGCCTATTTCTCTTCAAAGGCTTTTTCATTCTAGAGTAGTCCTTGATTTCACAGTCATACCTTACACTGGTCACATATGTGGTAGATGTTCAGTAGAAAATAGATCATGACCACAATCATGTTCAAGAGGATGGCTCTCAATCTTCTGCCTCTTACAGTGGGATTCAAGGCTTATTACATAGCCCTTATTTATTCTTTGTCTTGGACATGATCTTCTGCTTCCCTCCCTTTCTCTAAACGTGTTCCATATTAAAAATTATATGGGCTGGGCATGGTGGCTTACGCCTGTAATCCCAGCACTTTGGGAAGCCAAGGAGAGAGAATTTCTTGAGGCCAGGAGTTTGAGACCAGCCTAGGCAACATAGGAGACACTTCATTTCCAACAACAACTACAACAAATTCTCTTAGCTGGGCGTCATAGCATGTGTCTGCAGTCACAACTGCTTGGGAGGTTGAGGGGGGAAGATTGCTTGAGCCCAGGAAGTCAGGCTGCAGTGAACTGTGATTGTGCCACTGCACTGTAGCCTAGGTGACAGAACGAGACTCTGTCTCAAAAAAATAATGTTAACTGCTTGCCGTTGTTCTCTGTATACGCCATGATCTTTTATACTTCTCTGTTGTGTACGTGCCATTCTCCTGGCCTTGAATACCTTTTCTTCTTTTTGTCATGGCAAACTTTTTAAAAATTTGGCTTAAATATCAGCTACTCTGTGAAATTTCTTTCATAAGTCTGGACAGAATTTAGCTTCTTCTTAATACCATAGACCCACAGCTCTTTGTAAAACCTGTTATTACTAATTTCACTGCCCACCCCCAAAAACTGAGTTCCCATAGGACAAACCATGGTCATAGTTATCTTTGTATTATAGTACCAAGTGTATAATGATAAGTAGCTACTTACTATTTGTTGAATGGATTATGAGTTTCTAAATTCAACAAGAATCTATGGCTTAAAAATGCCGTTGTTCCTCAGACATAATGGGAAAACGTGGATAGCACTGCTTTGCCTTTTTTTTTTTTTTTACTTTGAGACAGAGTCTCAAAAGACTGGAGTGGCACAATCTCTGCTCACTGCAGCCTCTGCCTCCCAGGTAAAAGCAATTTTTGTGCCTCAGCCTTTGGAGTAGCTGGAATTACAGGTGTGTGTCACCACACCCAGCTAATTTTTGTGTTTTTCATAGAGACAGGATTTCACCATGTTGGCCAGTGTGGTCTCAAACTCCTGGCCTCATATGATCTGCCCGCCTTGGCCTCCCAAAGTACTGAGATGACAGGCGTGAGCCACCATGCCCAGCCTGCTTTGCCATTTAGATAGGAATCCTAAAAATGTCTTAATGTCCTCTGCATTTAGTTTATGTTTCTCAGAATGGGGTCGTGGTCCACTGATTGATTCCACCTTGCTTATTCTACTCTGCCTTTCCCTATCTGCTCAGCCCAGTGACTGATTATGTAACACAAACCCCAGATTTCCTTAAGGTTTAACATCAGACTCACTTCTCTCACAAAGATATTTTCTATGATATGAATTTTTTTTTATCTAGTCTGTACAATGCTGTCTTGAGTTTTCTTGTATATTGCTCTAGAATTTAACAATCTAATTTCCATGCTATTAGCTACCTCTTCTCTTAACTTCCTATTAGTTAAAATACGGTTCTTTTATAGAGTTTTCTTTGATTCCATGTTTTTCTTTATCAGTTGGCGAGTATTCTGTATGCTTTGTTCTAGCAGTTGGTTATTTACTAGTTTTATTGATCTAATCTGTAAAATGGCCTCTTTTTTTTTTTTGATGAGACGGAATCTTGCTCTGTCACCAGGTTATAGTGCAGTGGCACGATCTTGGCTCACTGCAACCTTCACCTCCTGGGTTCAAGAGATTCTCCTGCCTCAGCCTCCTGAGTAGCTGGGACTACAGGCATGCGCCACCACGCCCAGCTAATTTTTGTATTTTTGTCAGGGTTTCACTATGTTGGCCAAGATGATCAAGATCTCTTGATCTCGTGATCCGCCCACATTGGCCTCCCAAACTGCTAGGATTACAGGCATGAGTCTCTGCACCTTGCCAAAATGGCCCTTTAAAATGTTTCTTTTGTCTACTTTGTTTCCTTCTCATTTCCATTGCTACCAAGACATTATTACCCCTTAACTAAATATTCCAGTAGCCTAAACGTTTTCATCTAGAGCTTCTTTGTCACCATCATCCATTCTGAATGTTGTTGCTAGTGCCATTTTCTTGCATGAAAAGTTTCTAGTGGTTCCTCCCAGCAAACAGAATCAAGTCCACATTCTTTAGCATGGCATTCAATATAATTATCCAATATTTCGTTACAAATTTGTTTTCTTCATCTATTATGAAAACCTTCCTCTATAACAAAACCAGATGTCTTATTTTTCCATTGAACAAACTTTGCTCATTCTTGCCTCTCTACAGTGATTCTCAACCTTAACTGAATATCATAATCTCCCTTGGAACTTAAAAACACAGAACCAAAATCCTGAATGTTAGCCCTGGACATCAGTGTTTTGTTTTTTTTTTTAAAGCTCCGCAGATGGTCATAATGAAGAGTCAAGGCTGGAAACCCCTTCTCTGTTTCTTGGTGGAGGTTCTTCTTACCTGAAATACCTTTCTCCTTCCCCTTTGCCTGCTAATTTTTACATTCTTCTCTGAACTCTCCAACCGACTTTGAACTTTTTCTGTTTCAACTCTCTGTTACCTATTTCTGTGCTGCTTATCCACTGCTAGAGTACAGGTTACCTTATTTTTTTTTTTAGATGTGTATCCTTCTAAATAAGGACAAGATCAGCCAGGTACAGTGGCTCACGCCTGTACTGTAATCCCAGCACTTTGGGAGGCCGAGGTGGGTGGATCACTTGAGGTCAGGCATTCAAGACCAGCCTGACCAACATGGTGAAACTCCGTCTCTACTGAAAATACAAAAATTAGCCGGGCCTATAGTCCCAGCTACTAAGGAGGCTGAGGCAGGAGAATTGCTTGAACCCAGGAGGCATGGGTTGCAGTAAGCTGAGATCGTGCCAGTGCACTTCAGGGCGCACTTCAGGGTGACAGAGCGAGACTCTGTCTCAAAACAGCAACAATGAAAACAAGAAGATCATAATTGTTTCTACTTCCTCATAGAACAAAGAACAGTTCTTTGTACTAAGTAAATATCTGTTTATCATTGTGTTAATTTGAATTATTATTTATTTCAGATATCCCTTGTTTTTTTTTTTTACCTGGTAGAGTGGAATAAGAATTTATTAAATGTTTATTGATAGAATGAATAAAATAGATCTGCTTAAGTATAATAAGTGTGTACGTGTAACAAACTGAAATTTATTTACTTATTTCTTAGTATGTAACATTCAGATTTGAAATTTGGGTTTTTATAAAGCAATTCCGTTTCATTTTTTAATATTTTCCTTAAAAGATTTAAGTGACAAATTTGGAGAACACATATGCTTAGCTTGTTTTTGTAATTAAATAGGATTTAATCAAAGATCTCAAATCAGAGTTAAGTGGAAATATGGAAGAACTGATCCTAGCCCTATTCATGCCTCCTACATATTACGATGCCTGGAGCTTACGGAAAGCAATGCAGGTACTATATGTTATTTATCGTGAGTATTTTGTCCTATTTCATATGTAAAACCCTACAAATTGTAGCACTTTTGAATTTACAGTGGTAATTAAACCAATTCATTATTTCACATCATCTGAATATATAGTTTTTTAGTTCTAGAGAACAAAGAAATAATGAAGCAGTAAGGTTTAATTACTTGTGGAAATTTCATTTTATTTTTGTGTAATCCTCCATTCATTTTATGTAGGGAGCAGGAACTCAGGAACGTGTATTGATTGAAATTTTGTGCACGAGAACAAATCAGGAAATCCGAGAAATTGTCAGATGTTATCAGTCAGAATTTGGACGAGACCTTGAAAAGGACATTAGGTCAGATACATCAGGACATTTTGAACGCTTACTTGTGTCCATGTGCCAGGTGAGTATAATATGAATGCTTTTGCATTTATAGAGGGAACATACTTTAAAAGCCTTTTGCCAGTGAGCATTCTTTATTCCTTTTAATATTTGGCCACTTTGCAATATTGCTGTCTTTAAGAGGGACAACACAGAAACCAGTGTACTGATTTCTTTGTAGTTACAGGGATTTATTCCTGTAAATTTATTCCTGTAAATCTGGCTTTTGTAAGGAATTAGAGATTTAACCTCTAAGGTTTTATGGAATCAGAAACCAATTTGAGGCTCTATGGTTGGGATGAGAATGAAACTGTACATTTGAGCTTATCACTGTCCATTATTCTGCACCATCAAGTGAAGATGTGCAGGACTGCCATAAAGGTGCTATAGGAAGTGAGGACAGCCAGAAATGCAGAAAAATGTTTTAGGGTTCCCATTAATAACCGTGATTAGCACCTTCCTTATTTTGATTCCCCAGATGTGCTGGAGAATTGACAGAAAATACTCCAAATAGGGTATTTGGAATGGCATTAGAAACATACTTAGGGCCAGACATAGTGGCTCACACCTGTAATTCCAGCACTTTTGGAGGCCAAGGCAGGAAGATTGCTTGAGGCCAGGAGATTGAGGCCAGCCTGGGCACCAGAGCAAGAAACCATCTCTACAAAAAAATTATTTTTTAACTGGCTGAGCATGGTGGTGGATACCTGTAGTGCCAGCTATTCAGGAAGCTGAGTGGGAGGATCTCTTGAGTGCAGGAGATTGAGGCTGCAGTGAAGTATGATTGCACCAGTGCATTCCAGCCTGGGCAACAGAGGAAGACCCTATCCTCAAAAGGAAGAAAAAAGGAAACACAGAATGAGACGATGAACATGTATTTGAAAGAGATGGTGTAAATAACTAGCATGCTGATTAAATATCAAGAGTTACTGGCTATTGTGCTAGTGCACAAAATTGGACCATCTGGAGGGGTCTAAAGGAGAGGAGGGGCTCTTAAGAGCCAAGGGAGGGGCCAGGCGTGGTTGCTTATGCCTGTAATTCCAGCACTTTGGGAGGCTGGAATCACCTGAGGTCAGGAGGGTGAGACCAGCCTGACCAACATGGTGAGACTCTATTTCTACTAAATACAAAAATTAGCCAGGAATGGTGGCATGTGCCTGTAATTCCAGCCACTTGGGAGGCTAATTCAGGAGAATTGCTTGAACTCGGGAGGCAGAGGTTGCAATGAGCTGAGATTGTGCCATTGCACTCCAGCCTGGGCAACAAGAAATTCCATCTTGAAAGCCAAGGGAGGTAGGTGTGGAAAGGATAGTGTATAACAGTGAGTGGATATGGTAATGAGAAAGCAAAGTAAATGTATTGAAGGAAATTGAATTTACCTATATCAGAGTAACAGAACAGGGAAGTAGGTTAGGATTTAAAAGAAACAAGAAGAAACACACTTAATGCTAAAAATTGTTAAGATTTTACACGAGGTGCTGTCTCTTTGTGCAGAGTTCAAGACCCAGCCCTACCTTTTCCATAATATGAGTAGATGAGTAACTTCCTAGGAAAGTGTGTGTGAATCCAAAGGCAATAATCTGGGAAATTTTTCGTTATATATTCACTCACCCATTTAGAATATGCCTCTATGTATTCCTTGTGCCAGGTGCTCAGAAGATGGTTCTTCAGTTTCAAGGAGCATCTTTCCATCTTGTTCCTAAGATGGTCCCCGAGACTCTAAAAGGCAACCTTTTCTTGTTTGGGTTTGTCTTTCTGTTTTTGAGAGAAACCAACTGCCCATCTAAGCTTAAACTCTTCCTTCCTCCTTCATTTCCTCCTAGCCAGGGAAGAGTTTGGTATACAAATAGGCCCAGTCTAGCAGAATGAATTATTTGTAGCTTCTTCTAAAAAGCTCATGTCATTTTTTGCATGTATTTATAGTAAATACTTAAATATTAGGGTTATAGTTAGATGGCTGAGTGTGGTAGTATGTGCTTATAGTCCCAGCTACTCTGGAAGCTGAGGTAGGAGGATCACTTGAACCCAGGAGTTTGAGGCTGTGATCACGCCTGCATATAGCCATTGCACCCCAGCCTGGGCAATATAGTGAAATCACATCTCTTAAAAGATAAGGCCGGGTGTGGTGGCTCAAGCCTGTAATCCCAGCACTTTGGGAGGCTGAGACGGGTGGATCATGAGGTCAAGAGATCGAGACCATCCTGGTCAACATGGTGAAACCCCATCTCTACTAAAAATACAAAAAATTAGCTGGGCGTGGTAGCATGTGCCTGTAATCCCAGCTACTCAGGAGGCTGAGGAAGGAGAATTGCCTGAACCCAGGAGGCGGAGGTTGCAGTGAGCTGAGATTGCGCCATTGCACTCCAGCCTGGGTAACAAGAGCGAAACTCCGTCTAAAAAAAAAAAATATATATATATATATATATATATATATATAATTAAGACTGGGAAGAAAAAGAGATGTAATAGAAAAAATATATATATATATATATTATTACTCAGATGAAGAAAAGAAAGTTTAAGAAGCCTCCATGCTACATATTTCCTCCCTCCCTCTTGCCCTAGAGTTACATTTCTTGAGGGCAGGGACCCTGTCTCTCCTGTGTTCTTACCACTTAGCATAGCGCCTGACACAAAAAAGTGCTTAATGATCTCTTACTTGCATGAATGAATACAAAGTAGAACTCAGTACAGTGCTTATTGATCTTTAATTCCAGCTAAGGGAGCTGTTTCTTCATTCGGGTGGTAGTTTATATGTCCTAGAAGACATATTTTTGTTTAAACATTTTTGGATTTAATTTAGCTCCCCAAAGTCCTCATTTTAACATAACCTCGTTAAACCATGATCTTATAAAATCCAATTGACAGTATAATAAAGTACTAGTTATATTTCCATGCATAGAAATGAAGGATATGCATGACAGACATTATGCAGTAATTTTTAATAAATTATCCCTTTAGGCCAGGCCCAGTGGCTCACATCTATAATCCCAGCACTTAAGGAGGCTGAAACAAGAGGATCACTTAAGTCCAGGAGTTAGAGACCAGCACTTGGACAACATGATGAATCACCCTGTCTCTACAACAAATAAAAAATTAGCCAGTCGTGGTCATTTATGCCTGTAGTCCCATCTGCTCAGGAGGCTGAGGTGGGAGGATCACTTGAGCCTAGGAGGTTCATACTGCACTGAGCTGTGATTGTGCCACTGCTCTCCAGCCTGAGTGACAGAGCAAGACCCTGTCCCCAAAAAAATGAATAAATTGTCTCTAAATCCAAAAGTGAACTAGATTAGAAAGAAATTTTTTAGTAGAACTTTTCTTTCTTTTTTTTTTTTTTTTTGAGACGGAGTTTCGCTCGTTACCCAGGCTGGAGTGCAATGGCACGATCTCGGCTCACCACAACCTCCGCCTCCTGGGTTCAGGCAATTCTCCTGCCTCAACCTCCTGAGTAGCTGGGATTACAGGCACACGCCACCATGCCCAGCTAATTTTTTGTATTTTTAGTAGAGACGGGATTTCACCATGTTGACCAGGATGGTCTCGATCTCTTGACCTCGTGATCCACCTGCCTTGGCCTCCCAAAGTGCTGGGATTACAGGCTTGAGCCACTGTGCCCAGCTGAACTTTTCTTTCTTCCAATTCCTGCCTTTTCCTTTTGCAGGGAAATCGTGATGAAAACCAGAGTGTAAACCACCAAATGGCTCAGGAAGATGCTCAGCGTCTCTATCAAGCTGGCGAGGGGAGACTAGGGACTGATGAATCTTGCTTTAACATGATCCTTGCCACGAGAAGCTTTCCTCAGCTAAGAGCTACAATGGAGGCTTATTCCAGGGTATGAGCTTTTCTTTTGAACATTTGGTTTCTGTTTTAAGATGCAAAAATATTTAACCCTTTAATTTTGTTTACAGATGGCTAATCGAGATTTGTTAAGCAGTGTGAGCCGTGAGTTTTCCGGATATGTGGAAAGTGGTTTGAAGACCATCTGTAAGATATTTTTATGCTTTGCTTTATTTTGTTTTCAAATGAGTGGGAGCTCTGAATAGTTGTTCCCATTAAATAATGATATAGTCTAAGTGGAATCTGCTTAGGCAGTAGCTGAGCTAATCCTTTGTTTTTTTTTTTTTCCAAAAAAAAGAAAACTCAAAAGAATTTATTACACAAACCCCCAGAAACAATCCTTTGTTTTCATTTGCAATTTCCTTGGAGTGTTGGTGCTGTGATCAAATAGGGCTGTTTTGGGATGATTATTTGGCCTTCATCTGTAGGCTGTTCTTGAGGACTGTGCAAGAATACCTGATAGTTGTAGTACTTTTTTTTTTTTGAGTCGGAGTTTCGCTCTTTGTTATCCAGGCTGGAGTGCAAAGGCGCGATCTCGGCTCACTGCAACCTCCACCTCCTGGGTTCAGGCAATTCTCCTGCCGCAGCCTCCCAAGTAACTGGGATTACAGGCATGCGCCACCATGCCCAGCTAATTTTTTGTATTTTTAGTAGAGACGGGGTTTCACCATGTTGACCAGGATGGTCTCGATCTCTTGACCTCATGATCCACTCGCCTCAGCCTCCCAAAGTGCTGGGATTACAGGCGTGAGCCACTGCGCCTGGCAGTACTTCTTTTAAAGGGAAAGGGAAAGCCCCAAGGAACTCACAGCATCACCATGAAACGGTTTGAGCCCTCAAAACAGACCTGTCAAGTACTCAGCCCAGTGAGACTCTTTTCCTTTTTGAAGTTAAACAACCAATTTCTGGTGGTCTAATACACAGATGTCTAACAAAGTGAAAATTTCATTCTGTTGGATATTAGGACTAAAGGGAGTATTAGTAACACATTGATATTAACAGTGGAATGTTGGGCCGGGTGCGGTGGCTCACATCTGTAATCCCATCACTTTGGGAGGCCAAGGTGGGCAGATCACGAGTTCAAGAGATCCAGATCATCCTAGCCAACATGGTGAAACCCTGTCTCTACTAAAAATACAAAAAATTGGCCGGGCGTGGTGGCTCACGCCTGTAATCCTAGCACTTTGGGAGGCCTAGGTGGGTGGATCACCTGAAGTCAGGAGTTCAAAACCAGCCTGGCCATCATGGTGAAACTCCATCTTAAAAAAAAAAAAATACAAAAAATTAGCTGGGTATTGTAGTATGTGCCTGTAATCCCAGCTACACAGAGGCTGAGGCAGGAGAATCGTTTGAACCTGGGAGGCGGAGGTTGCAGTGAGCCAGGATCACACCACTGCACTCCAGCCTGGCAACAGTCCGAGACTCCGTCTCAAAAAAAAAAAGGAATGTCTTAGAATATTACTATAGTAATTGTAGTGAAAGCAAAAATGCATGGGTAGAACATCTCTGTCATCCGTAGGAGGAGACTTTGCTAAGTGAATTTTTCAAACAGAAAACCTGTTAGATTTCTGAGAATCTTTTTGAAATCTTCACTCTAATCTGTGTTTTCTCTTTTAAAGAGTTTTACCTTTCAGCCGAATGATATTCTTGACTTCTAGAGTTCAGATTTTGTCATAATTATTCCTTTAGTAAGATATTACTGGGGCACAGATGCTATAGATTTTCATAGTTTAAGGAGAAAAAGTTAGAATCGAAGTCACTGCAACTATGGAGAGACAAGAGGATTTCTAGGCTAGAGGGAATCTCCTGGAATTGAAGGTAGTCTACCTGATGCAGCTAGAAAGATCATTGAATGCTTAAAAAAAAGCAAGGGGGGAGAGCTCAGTTATGGTGGCTCATCCCTGCACTGAGGCAGGAGAATCACATGAGTCCAGGAGTTGGGAGACTAGCCTGGGCAATATAGTGAGACCATATCTCTACAAATATTAATAATAAAATTATCTGGGTGTGGTGGCACACACCTATAGTCCTAGCTACTTAGAAGGCTGAGGTGGAAGGATTACCTGAGTCCGGGAGGCTGCAGTGAGCCATGTTTGCACCACTGCACTCTAGGATGGATGACAGAGTGAGAACGTGTCTCAAAAAAAAAAAATTCTAGGGGGAGAACATCTGAACATCTTTAACTCACCTCACGTTTCTGGGATGATTATAGAGAAAATAATGAAAGGCAGGCTAGAAGTGATAAATGAAGCTGGAGGGGTACACTTCTTGTCAGATCATGATTCCATGTCTCAAGCAACTCTGTTTTGCAGTGCAGTGTGCCCTGAACCGCCCTGCCTTCTTTGCTGAGAGGCTCTACTATGCTATGAAAGGTGCTGGTACAGATGACTCCACCTTGGTCAGGATTGTGGTCACTCGAAGTGAGGTGAGGCGGGCCTTTCTCTTTTTGTTGGGTCTTACTTAATGTTCAGTGTTGATTTATTAAACGCTCCTCAGTTGGATGTCAGTCCCTCAAAAATGATGAGCTCTCTTTGCCACTGCTAAGAGAGGTGGTATAAAGAACAGAAAATTCATTTTCCTCATGCTGTGGAAGAAGCTTGCCTTAGTGAAAGAGGCCACTCTGCCCTAGTGAAGACAATACTAACAGATTTTACTACTTGAGAAGGTCTATGGAGAATACAAAGTTATGGGAAGTTAGACATTTATCTTTTGATTTTCATGTTGCTCATATAAAAAGTATATGAAAGACCTATGTAGATTAATCCTATTGGATATCAACATTATTTAAATTTAGCATTCCTTAATAATAAAACAATTTTTAAAATATTCATCATCTCTTTAAATATAGCCTCATTTTTAATTTTTTTCTTTATATATTTACTGCACTTTGAAAAAATTTCTATTTTTTTTTTTTTTTCCTCACAAGAAATGACATTTGAACTTTTTTTTTTTTTTGGAGACATGGTCTCACTGTGTCACCCAGACTGGAGTGCAATGGCATGATCTCAGCTCACTGCAACCTCCACCTCCTGTGTTTTTGCAATTCTACCACCTCAGCCTCTTGAGTAGCTGGGGCTACAGGTTTGTGCCACCACGCCCAACTGTTTTTGTATTTTTTGGTAGAGATGGGATGTCACCATGTTGGCCAGGCTGGTCTTGAACTCCTGACCTCAAATGATCCACCTGCCTCAGCCACCATGCCCGGCCTTAATTGAACAAAAACATAGTGGGGTGTGGTGGCTCATGCCTGTAATCTCAGCACTTTGGGAGGCTGAGGCAAGAGGATTGCTTGAGCCCAGGAATTTGAGACCAGCCTGGGTAACATGGCGAAACTTATTTCTGCAGAAAATACACACACACACACACACACACACACAAAATTAGCTGGGCATGGTAGTCCCAGCTACCCAGGATGCTGAAGTGGAAGGATCACCTGAGCCCGGGAGGTCAAGGCTGCAGTGAGCCACGATTGCACCACCCTACTCCAGCCTGGGTAACAGGGACCCCATGCCAAAAAAACCCTAAATTAAAGACGGTAGATCGTTTTTAAAGAAAACAACTATAATGTGGTGTTTTGAAAAAGACTTTATGTGTTTGTTCTTTAACTTAAATTTTCTAAGCATGATGTTTTAAGTTGTGATAAAATATACATAACATAAAATTTACCATTTTTAAGTAGCATTAAGTACATTTACATTGTTATGCGACATCACTGCCATTCAACTTCAGAAGTTTTTTCAACTTGCAAAACTGAAAATCCATGCTCGTTAAACAATAGCTCTTCATTCTTCTTTCTCCCAACCACTGGCAACAAACCATGCGACTTTCTGTCCCTATGTTTGACTACTTTCGGTACATCATATTGGTGGAATCATACAATATTTGTCTTTTTGTGACTGTCGTCTTTTACTTAGCATAGCATCTTCAAGGACTATTCGTGTTGTAGCATGTCAGAATTTTTTTCTTTTGAGACTAATTGTCCACTGTGTGTGTATCCCACCTTTTGTTTTCTTATTCATCTGTGACACTTGGGTTACTTCTACCTGGATAATGCTGCTGTGAACATGGGTGTACAAATACCTGTTCAAGTCTACTTTCACTTCTTTTGAATATATCCAGAAGTGGAATTTCTAGGTCATATTGTAATTCTTTGGAGGTTTTTTTTTTGTTTTGAGGAATTACCATATTATTTTCCCCAGCAGCTGCACCATTTTACTTTTCCATCGATCAGTGCCCATTTCATGACATCCTTGCCAATACTTACTATTTTTTATTTTTTATAATAGCCATCCTATCAAATGGTTTTTAAATGACGAATATCTTTGGAATAAAAGATGAAACTAGTACCACTCTTATCCAGGATTTTACAGAGCTGTGAATCAGACCTTCATTGGGTAGAACTAGCATTGGTATGAATACCAGCCATAAAATGTCAGTCACTTGGTGTTTTCCCCCCTCAGCTTTGATTATTATTAAAATCTTATTGTATGAAAAGAATTGTAGTAAGTGCCAATTATCACAGATGTTTTTCTAACATCAGAAATATTATTTCTCACGCAGATTGATCTTGTACAAATAAAACAAATGTTCGCTCAGATGTATCAGAAGACCCTGGGCACAATGATTGCAGGTGACACGAGTGGAGATTACCGAAGACTTCTTCTGGCTATTGTGGGCCAGTAGGAGGGATTTTTTTTTTTTTTTAAATGAATGAAGCTATTCATAGCTTATCCTTCAGAGCAATGACCTGCATGCAGCAATATCAACCATCAGCTAACCAAAAGAGCTTTCTATCAAGGACCATATCAGGGTAATGTGCTTGGTTTGCACATGTTGTTATTGCCTTAATTCTAATGTTATTTTGTTCTCTATATATAATCAGTGTAAAGCCATATCACAATGATACAGTAATATTGCAATGTTTGTAAAGCTTCATTCTTACTAGTTTCATTCTAATCAAGATGTCAAATTGAATAAAAAAATCACAGCAATCTCTAATTCTGTGTAATTATACTGAATAATTTTTTTGGTTGCTGAAAGCTCTGCCTTCCAGAATCCCTCTAGGTCTACTTGATAGAGTAGGTAGTATGTCATAACTGTGTACTTTAAAAAAAATTCATCCCTTTACATCTAGAAGAATAATTTGCATCTTATTTTGCATAAATTTGTTCTATATTCACAAACACTTTCCACATAGAAAACAGATTAGTATTACTGTAGTACCTTTTAAGAAAGGGTCATATGTTTATATGCTTAAAATAAATAGCCTACTTTTTTTTCCCAGTTGTTTTCTTTTTTTAAATTGAGTTATGACAAATAAAAAACTGCTGCATATATTTAAGGTGTACAATATGGTCTTTTACTATCAGCATTCCTTGTGTAATGATTTTACAATTAAGGTCAGACTAATTACGCATCTGTCACCTTGACATAGTTACCGTTTTTTTTGTGTGTGGCGAAAACACTTAAGATCTACTAACTTAGCAAATTTCAAGTGTTCAATACATTATTAACTATAGATACTGTGCTTTACATTAAATCTCTAGAACTTACTCATCTTATAACTGAAAGTTCATATCCTTTGATCAACATCTCCCCATTTCCCCACCTCTCTCCCGAACAACCTCAACTTTTAAGTTCAGCTATTTTAGATTCCACATATAAATGGTATGTAATATTTCTCTTTCTGTATCTGGCTTATTTCTCTTAGCATAATGATCTCTAAGTTTATAGTTCACATTGTCACAAATGGCAGAGTTTCCTTTTTTTTTCTTTTTGAGTCGGAGTTTCTCTCTTGTCCAGGCTGGAGTGCAGTGGCATGATCTCAGCTCACTACAGCCTCCGCCTCTCAGGTTCAAGCAATTCTCCTGCCTCTGCCTCCCAAGCAGCAGGCGTCTGCCACACCTGGCTAATTTTTTCTTTAGTAGAGATGGGGTTTTAGCAGGTTGGCCAGGCTGGTCTCGAACTTGTGATCTCAGTTGATCCACCTGCCTCAGCCTCCCAAAGTGCATGGATTACAGGTGTGAGCCACCGTGCCTGGCCAAAATTTTCTCCTTTAAGGCTGAATAATATTCCATTGTGTATATATACTATAATTTCTTTCTCCATTTATCCATCAATGGACACTTGAGTAGTTTCCATATGTGGATTATTGTGAGTAATGCTGCAGTAAACATGGGAGTGAAGATACCTCTTTATGATGCTGATTTCATTTCCTTCAGATACATACCCAGAAGTGATATTGCTGGGTCATATTATTTTTAGTATTTTGAGAAATCTCCATACTATATGCTATAATGGCTATACTAAGTTACCTTCCCACTAACAGTGTATAATGGTTCCCTTTGCTCCATATTCTTGCCATCTTGTTAATGTTTTACCTTTTTAATAATACCCAACCTAACAGGTGAAAATATCACGTGTACTTGAGAAGAATATGTATGCTGCCGTTGTTAGATAGAGTGTAGAGTGTTCTGTATGTGTCCATTAGGTCTAGTTTATTGTGTTAAGTCCTCTTTTTCCTCACGTCTGATTCTCCTATCCATTATTAAGAATGGGGTATTGAAGTCCCCAGCTACTGTTGTAAAACCGTTTCTCCCTCAGTTTTTGCTTCATATGTTTAGGTGGTCTGTTACTAGGTGTGTAGATGTTCATAATTGTCATATTTTCTTGCAGTATTGAATTTTTTATTAATATATAATGTTCTTTGTCCCCTATAATCTTTTTTTTTTTGAGATGTAGTCTTACTCTGTTGCCCAGGCTGGAGTGCAGTGGCTTGATCTTGGCTCACTGCAACCTCTGCCTTCTGGGTTCAAGCAGTTCTCCTGCCTCAACCTCCTGAGTAGCTGGGATTACAGGTGCCTGCCACCACGCCTGGCTAATGTTTGTATTTTTAGTAGAGACAGGTTTTCACCATGTTGGTCAGGCTGATCTTGAACACCTAACATCAGGTGATCTGCCCACCTTGGCTTCCCAAAGTGCTGGTATTATAGGCATGAGCCACTGTACCTGGCCCCATGACCTTTTTTGATTTAAAGTCTATTTTGTCTGATATTACTATAGCCTCCCTGCTCTCTTTTGGTTACCGTTTACATGGAGTCTCTCTTTTTTTAATCTTTTAACTTTTATCTGTTTGTGTCTTTTGATCAAATGTGAGTCTTTTGTACACAGCATAAAGTTGGATTTTTAAAAATCCGTTTGCCAGTCTTTGTCTTTTGATTAGAAAGTTTAATCCCAGCTGGGCATGGTGGCTCACACCTGTGATCCCAGCACTTTGGGAGGCTGAGGTGAGTGGATTACTTGACATCAGGAGTTCCAGACCGGCCTAGCCAACATGGTTGAGACCCCTGCCTCTACTAAAAATAGGAAAATTAGCTGGGTGTGGTGGTGTGCACCTATAATCCCAGCTACTCGTGAGGCTCAGGTGGGAGAATTACTTGAACCCAGGATGTGGAGGTTGCAGTTAGCTGAGATCATGCCACTACAATCCAGCTTGGGTGACAGAGAGAGACTGTCTCAAAAAAAAAAAAAGAAAGAAAATGTAATCTATTTATCTATTTACATTTAAAGTAATTACTGTTAAGAACGTCTGTTATGTTGCTATTTGTTCTCCACATGCCTTAAAGCTTTTTTGTCCCTCATTTCCTGCATTACTGTCTTTTGTGTTTAGTAGTTTTGTAGTGAAACATTTAAATTCATTTCCCTCTGTTTTGTATATATTCTATAGCTATTTTCTTTGTGTATGTTTGTGTGTGTGTGTGTTTTTTTTTGTAGGAAGGGTCTTCTCTGTCACTCAGGTTGGAGTGCAGTGGTGGAATCATTGCTCACTGCAGCCTTGAACTCAAGCACTCCTCCTGCCTCGGTGTCACAAGTAGCTGGGACTACAGGCTCTTGCCATCACACCAAGCTAATTTTCAGTTTTTTTGAAGAGACAGGGTTTCATCATGCTGCTCCAGGCTGGTAACTCCTAGACTCAAGCAATCCTCTTGTCTTGGCCTCCCAAAGTGCTGGGATTACAGGTATGAGCCACCACATCCAACGTGTGTCTTAGTTTTTTTTTTTGTTTTTGTTTTTGAGAAATGTTAAGTTCTTAGTTTTTAACAAAAAAGCTCAAAAAGTAAAAAATACTTTTTAAAATAAAAAGCTTGTAAGGACATTAAGTATTTTTGTATAGCTATAAGAGTCAAAAAGTTAAGTTTAGGCTGGGTGTGGTGGCTCACGCCTCTAGTCTCAGCACTTTAGGAGGCTGAGGCAGCTGGATCACTTGAGCCCAAGAGTTTGAGACGAGTCTGAGCAACATGATGAAACCCCATCTCTACAAAAAATACAAAAATCAGCCGGTTACGATGGTGCAGTCTTGTAGTCCCAGCTACTTGGGAGGCTAAGGCAGGAGGTTTGCTCAAGTCCAAGGAGATCGAGGCTGCAGTAAGCCATGATCATGCCACTGCACTCCAGCCTGGGTGACAGAATGAGACCCTGTCTCCAAGGGAAAAAAAGGACACTTAGGAAGCAAAACCTTGCATTAAGCTAAAGTAAATTTTATTATTGAAAAGTTTTAAAATAAATTTAGTGTAGCCGAATTAGTGTTTATAAAGTCTGCAGTAGTATAATGTCCTAGGCCTTCATAATTCATTCACTACTCATTCCCTCACTCACCCAGAGCAACTTCTAGACCAGTAACTGCCATTCATTATGAGTGCCCTCTATAGGTGTACTATTTCTTATACCATATTTTTACTGTTCTTTTTCTATGTTTAGATATACCACCATTGTGTTACAATTGCCTACAGTATTCAGTATAGTAACATGCCATACCCATTTGTAGCCTAGGAGAAATAGGATACACCCTATATGACTTAGGTATGTGGTAGGCTATGCTATCTAGGTTTGTGTAGATACACTCTGTTTGCATTTCCCTCATGTTTAGTGATGTTGAGCATGTTTTCATATATCTGTTGGCCATTTCTATACTTTCTTTCGAGAACTGTCTAGTTCTTTTGCCCATTTAAAAATCCGATTATTTGTGGGGTTTTTTTTTTTGGTGTCGAGTTTCTTTACATATTCTGGATATTAACCCCTTGTCAGATGCATAGTTTGTAAATATTTTCTCCCATTCTATATACTGTCTCTTCAATCTGTTGATTGTTTCCTTTGCTGTGCAGAAGCTTTTAAGTTTGCTGTCATCCCATTTGACTATTTTTGTTTTGCTGTCCATGTTTTGAGGTCTTATCCAAAAATTCCTTGCTCAGACCAATGTCAAAGCATTTTTCCTATGTTTATTTCTAATAGTTTCATAGTTTCAGGTCTTATGCTTAAAGCTTTTATCCATTTTGAGGCTATTTTTGTATATGATGATGGGGATCTAGTTTTTTTCTTCTGCATGTGGCTAGTGAATTTTTGTGATACATCACTCAAACCGAAGGAAGGATAAAAACCATATGCTCATTTCCATATATGCCGAAAAAGCACTTGGTAATGTTCAATATCCCTTCATAACCAAACAAAACGAAACTCTCAACAAAATAGATATGGAAGGAACATACCTCAGTACAATAAAGGCCATGTATAACAGACCCACAGCTAACATACTGAATGAGGAAATGTTGAAAGCTTTTTCTCTAAAATCTGGAACAAGATAAGGATACCCACTTTCACTACTTCTATTCAACATAGTATTGGAAGTTCTAGCCAGAGTTATTAGGCAAGAGAAAGAAACAAAGGGCATCTGAATTGAAAAGAAGTCAAAGTTCCTGTCTTCATAAGATGACATGATCTTATACACAGAAAACTCTAAAGATTCCACCAAAAACTGCCAGAAGTAATAAATTCAATAAAGTTTCAGGATACAAAAGCAACATAACAAAAATAAGTAGCATTTCTATATGCCACTAGTGAACTATCTGAAAAAGAAATCCAAAATGCAATCCCATTCACAACTGCTACCAAAAAAAAAAAAACCTAGCAAGTTTTAACCAAGGAGGCGAAACATCTCTACAATGAAGACTATAAAACACTGATGAAAGAAATTGAAAAACACACAAATAGTATCCTCTGTTCATGAATTAGAATAATTAATATTTTCAAAATATTCATACTTCCCAAAGTGATCTACAGATTCAATACAATTTTTATCAATATGCCAATGACATTCTTCACAGAAATAGAAAACTCTTAATATTTGTAGTTTTACTTCTTTAAGTCATTGGTCCATTTTGAGTTATTTTTTGTGTATGGTGTGAGGTAAGGGTCCAACTTCATTCTTTGCATGTGGACATTGTTTTTCCTTGTACCATTTGTTTAAAAGACTATATTGTCCTCCCAACCCATTAGATTGTCTTGGCACTTTTATTAAAATTTATCAGTTGACTATAAATGTAAGAGTTCATTTCTGAACTCTCGATTCAATTGATTCTTTATGTCTATCTTTATGCCTTTATTATTGTCTTGATTACTTGATTACTGCAGCTTTATAGAAAGTTTTGAAATTTGGAAGTGTGAGTTTTCAAGTGTGAGTTTTCTACTTCAAGATTGTTTTGGCTACTCTGAGTCCCTTGCATTTCCATATGAATTTTAGGATCAGCTTGTAAAAAAAAAAAAAGTTGGGATTTTAATAGTGATTGCTTTCAATCTGTAGATCAGTTTGAGGATGAGCAATATTATTTGATTGTATTATTGAGCATCAGAAGTGCATTGACTTTGGAAGTAACAAATTAGCTAATTAGAAACAAGCCTTTTAGAGTAATGATGAGAGAGGAATTTGTTGAACTAGTGCATCATTTAGTGGAGGGAGGCCTTTGAAACTCAGACTAAGGCATTCGAATTTTATTAGAGATTTTTATTTTTTTTTTTATTTCATTTATTTTTTTTAAAAAGATGGGGTTTCATTATGATGGCCAGGCTGGTCTTGAACTCCTGACCTCAGGTGATCCACCCACCTCGGCCTCTCAAAGTGCTAGGATTACAGGCGTGAGCCACTGCGCCTGGCTCAATTAGAGGTTTTTACAGTTTTTTCCCTTAAATTGGTCTGCATATGTAGATGATTTTATTATGATTCCAGTACTATTATATTTTCCATTGCACTAAAGAGAGCTTTTTCCACACAGAAGTGGATGATTTTAATCAGTCAAAAAATATCAAATACCTTTCAAACAGAGTGGCCACTGCTAACCACTGTAGGAGAATAAAAGAACTGTAACACAAACACACACGTGGGAGACTGAGGTGGGAGGATCGCTTGAACCTGGGAGGCGGAGGTTGCAGTGAGCCAAGATCCTGCCACTGCACTCCAGAGCAAGACTGTCTAATTTAAAAAAAAGCCTGGGCATGGTAGCTCACGCCTATAATCCCAGCACTTTGGGAGGCCAAGCCGGGTGGATCACCTTAGGTTAGAAATTCAAGAGCAGCCTGGCCAACATGGTGAAACCCCATCTCTACTAAAAATACAAAAATTAGCCAGGCGGTGATGGGCACCTGTAATCCCAGCTACTTACATAGCTGAAGCACAATAATCGCCTGAACCCAGGAGGTGGAGGTTGCAGTGAACCCAGATTGCACCACTGTACTCCAGCCTGGGCGACAGCAATACTCCATCTTAAAAAAAAAAATTGTAATAGACAGCCCTTGCTCTCAGGCACCCTACAGTTGAATGGAGAATAATTACGTTTAAGGAAGTGACACCTGTTATTTATCCTTGCTTGCCTAAGACCTTGAAGCAAAGTACTAAGTAGACCAAGATCATGAGTTATTTCTGGAAGAACAACTCCCTATTAAAGATTTGGCCCTAACCCCAACCTATTAAGTAGAAAACGTGTGTCATGTGCAAGTGGGATAGCTTTCTCAGTGCAAATTCATCCACAACAGTCACTTGAGAAAAAATCCAGAGAGAAACACCTTAGTAATACTGCAACTTTCAAAAAATATTTCTCTTTATATAATTGTAATGTTTATTAGTAGAAATAACAATTATTTTAAAATTTGATTCTAGTAACTATATCCTAGGCAAAGAGCTTCCCAGGGAGAGTGGCTATGTGTGTGTATATATTTTAATAATTTATTTTGCAGTTATCTCAAATGTATAGAAAAGTTGCTCAAACAGTGCAAGGAAGTCCCATGTCCCCTTCACCCAGATTCCCAAATAGTTAACAATTCATTGCACTTGCATATTGCTCAATGTGTGTGTGTGCATGTGTGTGTGTACATGTGTATGTATCCCTTGTTAGTCTTTCTGAACATTTTGAGAGTCAAGAGAGCATATTGAAGAGATAGTGTCTCATAACTCCTAAACACACCAGTGTGTATTTCCCCCTAAACAGGGACACTTTCCTACCTAAAAACAAACTTCCACATCAGAAAATCAATATCGGTACAACACTACCATCCAATTCAGATGAGATCAGGCATGTTCAGAGTGGTATGCGATTCACAGAGCTAATTAACATTTTGCCCACTGTCCTAACAATGTTGTTTTCCTTTCTGGTCCAAAATGCTATACAAAGATACATATTGCATTTAGTTGTCATATAGCCTCAGTCAGAGACAGTTCCCAGTCTTTCCTGTCTTTGGATGGTCCACAACCTGAGTTCTTTTGATGGTAGGAAAACCAAAAAGGATGCTTTGTTTTTTTTATTTCACCAGGAGGCTCACAATGTAGACTCCTACCAACACTGGTGATGTTAACCATGATCACCTGATCATGTTGGTTGCCTCCATTCACTGTTTTCCCCTCTGTAATCGAGTAGTATTCCCTGGGAGAAGCATTCCAAAATCACACCAATATTCCATGCCTCATAGAACATCTACCCACTAGCCTTGTCGTTCATTGAAGACTCCTGCCTGAAACATCCTCCTCGGTAGTTGTCAAATGGTGGTTCTGTATTTCCATCCTTCTCTCTACACTTCTGGGTTGGCATCCTACTGTAGAGTTTTCCTTTTTCTCTGTATCAACACGGACTTTCATATTCCTATTTTATTCAATGGGTTGTAATCCATTATTGTCGTTGTTTACTTTCATGCTCAAATTGTCCCTTATTTGGCCCATGGAGTCCCTTCAAGCTGGTTTTTAACACTGCAACATTTTAAAGTATATATATTGCCAAGATTCATCCATGTTGTGTGTGTGGCTGCAGTTCATTAACTTTGACTGCTTTTAAGATGCCATTTTGTGAATATACCACAGTTTGTTGGTCCACTCTTCCACTAATCCGTCGACGGGCACTTGGGTTGTTTCCAGGTTATTGCTATCGTGTTTTGCTATTCTAGCTCTTTAATGGTAAATTTTGAATGCATTAAAATTTGTATTAACATGATAAACTTCAGGTCTGTTTATTGTACAAATATTAAGAACCTAGAAGCAAGGTCATTTTGTACTCTCATCAACAGTGCATGACACGCTCATTTGAGAAATATTGTCTTATTGCATATTTCATGGAGAAATATTTAAATGGTGTTTTCAAATCCGTTTAAGAAAGGCCTTTTTCTTTAAATAAGCTTTCTTTTGTTGTTTTCCCTCTTATTATGGAGAAATACTGAAATAAAGTCGAGAAAGCAAAATGTAAAGGTGGAAACCTGCGCCCTTAACCCAGACTCTTGCCAAGTTAAACGCGGAAACGACAAGAACTCGAAGTCAGGCGGCGGCAGCCGACGCCAGGGCGCAGGCGCAGGAACTCAGCGTCCCGCTCCCTGCTCCGGTCCCCAGAAAGTTATCGCGAGTCTTGGAATAAGCTTGCTGCGATTGCCAAAAGTAAGTTCTCGCGAGAGGTAGTTGGTTGCTATAGTTGTCAAAAGCGTAACTGCGGCTGCCGCAGGTAAGACCATGATCCCTCCTGAGGAAACCCTCTCTTCCCCGCCTCCCCACCCCGGCCCTGCGGCCACACCACCCCGGTCACCCCTCTCTCAGCTAAAGCCAGGCTGAAAATTCCGTTATTTAGACGGAAAAACCGCTGCTGACTCGGCTAGGTGAAGACGACTTTGCCGCCAGCCCCAGCCCCGCGACCCCCGCAGGATCGCGGACTTAAACCCTACTTTTCCGCTTCTCATCACAGGCCCCTTCAGTCCGCGCTGACTGTGCCTGTCTCCAGACCACATCCGGTCACATCGCCTCCTTCGTCCAACGTTTTTCTCACTGGACTCTCCCCTTGCAGCTTCTTCCGAGCAGATGACAAGAAACGCATGCCTTGCTGAGGGCAAAAAGAGTCCCCCACCCTAGCTGCCCTGACCATAACTTTAGTCCTATTTTTTGCATTCATAGTTTAAACACTACCCGAACGCCTCTTGTATAGACATGGTGCCAGGAACTCGGGGTCTGTAAATATGCATGAGATAGGTTACATGTCTTCAAGGGTGTAATCGAGCTCCCAGGAAAAACGCTGCATATTATTAATAGCATTTGTGCAGTGCTTCATAGCTTAAATAGCTTTAATATCTTAGGGGACATTCACAACAAATGTGAAACAGGTTGAAAGTTATCCATTTTACAGAAGGTGAAACTGAGTCTTAGAGAAGTTAGGCATTTGCCCAGGGACACATAATTATTAAGTAGGAAATGTCTTGAATCCCTGGTCTTCATAAATAGGACAACTTGTGGTAGGTAATGCCAAGAGAAGTGTAAAGTGCTAACTGAATTCAGAGGAAAGGCAAGCTTTTCCAACTGAGAAGCTTCATAGACTAGGAAGCATTTGAGCTGGATCTTAAAGAATGAGTAGGATTTGCTGTAGAGACGGAGTGAGGAGAAAGGGAGAGAGAATTCCAGGGAGAAGGAAAAATGCAGAGGTTCAAAAGTGACTAAATGCAGGTAATCTTTGAAAAATACTAAGCAAGAGCATAAGCTAGAAGAGGGGAGAAGTTGACTGGCACTGCAAGATCCTAGAAAACCCTGAATGTAGTACTACATTTAACTGCAGTTAAACTGTAGTGTTAACAGTTTATTTGGTAGGTGAGAGGGAACAACACAGTGATATTCAGATCTGTACTTTAATAAGGTATTTAACTGCTTGTCTCTTCTCATTTTCTCCCAATTTTTTCTTACACCTTACTCCAAGCCTACTAAGCTACTTGCTCTCTCGCTCTCGCTCAGTCTCTCTCTCTCTCTCTCTCTCTCTCTCTCTCCCCCCTCCCTCGTGTGTGTGTGTGTGTGTGTGTGTGTGTGTGTGTGTGTCGTTTTGCCTCTGAACCTTTTTGTTTTGTTTTGAGACGGAGTCTTGCTCTGTCGCCCACGCTGGGGTGCAGTGGCGCGATCTCCGCTCATTGCAACCTCCGCCTCCAGGTTCAAGCAATTCCCCTGCTTCAGCCTCTCGAGTAACTGGGATTACAAGTGCATGCCACCACCCTCGGCTAATTTTCTTTTTTGTTAGTAGAGACGGGGTTTCACCATGTAGGCCAAACTGGTCTTGAACTGAGGCAATCCGCTCACCTCAGCCTCCCAAAGTGCCAAGATTACAGGCATAAGCCACCGCGCCCGCCCCGCCTCTGAACCTTTTAAAATCTGTTCCCTTTCTTGGAATATCCTTCACTTTAGTTTATGAAGACATAGTTCCAGGGTACTTCCTCCAAGATTTTCCTGGCATGCACATGTATTCTCAAATCCAGCCAGGTCCCAGCTTCATTCAGCACTTCCTTGCTGAATGACTGATGATAAGATAACAAACTTCTCTGAAACTCAGTTTTTTTCACTCAAATAGAGATTTAAGAATCACCTAGAAGGGAGGCTACATGTAAGATAATACATGTGAAGCACACCTGGTACACTGGCTGTAATCAGTTAATTTCTTTGCTTCACTCCTTATGTTTGTAAGAGAAAAAAAGTTAATTTTCACCCCCTCTTCCCTCCTGTGTGTTTCACTCCTCCATCTTTCCTCTGTCAGAGTACCTATCACACAGATTATGACTCCCAGTCTAGTTACATGTCTCTCGTTCTCACTAGATTTTAAATTTTTGAGGTTAGAGAGTTCACATCTTATCTCTTGTATTCTCAGCACCCACCATGGTGCCAAGCTTAATGTTTTTTCAGTGAGCAGTTCTGACAGAAGCAGGATGAATTAGAGTGAGAAACTGGAATCAGAGTTACCAGTTAGGAGGCTTTTGTTACAGTCTAGCAGAAGGGTATTGAAGGCCTAATGCCATATTATTGAAAAGGAAAGAAGACTGCTACAAAAGGACATTTCGAATGTACATTTGACAAAGAAGTTGTCAGTACCATGAAAACACTGAAAAGGCCCAGAAACATGTTTTTGAACAAGTGATCTGAGACTTTTAGGTGACTGAAAAAATGCTGGAGTAACTGAGAAGAGGCAGAATAATTATCAAGTCTGAAAGCTGTAAGATGTTGTTTTCTTTTTTGTATCACCAAATACGCTTCGCATAGTATGTCCTCTGTAAATGTTTGAATTGAATTAGAAAAGAAGACCTTTGGGAGGCCGAGGCGGGTGGATCACGAGGTCAAGAGATCAAGACCATCCTGGTCAACATGGTGAAACCCCGTCTCTACTAAAAATACAACAAATTAGCTGGGCATGGTGGCGGGTGCCTGTAATCCCAGCTACTCAGGGAGCTGAGGCAGGAGAATTGCCTGAACCCAGGAGGCGGAGGTTGCGGTGAGCCGAGATCGCGCCATTGCACTCCAGCCTGGGTAACAAGAGCGAAACTCCGTCTCAAAAAAAAAAAAAAAAGAAAAGAAAAGAAGACCTAATTTTTAGTAAGCACAGTGGTTCATGCCTTTGAATCCCAGCACTGTGGGAGGCTAAGGCGGGCAGATTGCTTGAGCCTCGGCGTCAAGACCAGCCTGAGCAGCATGGTGGCTTATGTATGGAAAATACATACAACCCCTTATGTATGGAAAATACAGAAATTAGCTGGGTGTGGTGCCACATGCCTATAGTCCCAGCTACTCAGGAGGCTGAGGTGGGAGGATCACTTGAGCCTGGGATGTTGAAGCTGCAGTGAGCCATGATCGCACCACTGTACTCCAGCCTGGGTGACAGAGTGAGACCCTCAAAAAAGAAATAAATAAAAGACCTTTTCTAAAGAAACAAATATCCAGTTTATTTTTGAATTTGTTTGTTTCCTTAGTATTGTAAAACTGACAGTATATCTGACTAAATAAGAAATATATCAAGACCTTTTCCAATGGACTACCATTTTACGTGATTGCTTCTGTCCTGCTCTCAAAATATATTTTTGTAAAACTGAGAAGTTAAATAATCTTAGAAGGACACTTTGCAGATTTTTAAAAAAAAAAAGGATTACCAGAGAACACTGTGAAGGATGTAGGTCAGCAGTCCCCAAACTTTTTGGCACCAGGGACCAGTTTTGTGGAAGACAATTTTTCCACAGACTGGGGGCAGGGTGGATGGTTTTGGGATGATTCAGCACATTACATTTATTGTGTACTTTATTTCTATTTTTATTACATGGTAATATGTAATGAAATATTATACAACTCACCATAATGTAGAATCAGTGGGAGCCCTGAGCTTGATTTCCTGCTACTAGACAGTCCTGTCTGGGGGTGATGGGAGACAGTGACAAATCAGGCATTAGATTCTCATAAGGAGCGTACAACCTAGATCCCTTGCACGCAAAATGTTACAATAGGGTTCACACTCCTGTAAGAATCTAATGTTGCTGCTGATCTGACGGGAGGCAGAGCTCAGGTGGTAATGCAGGTGATGGGGAGTGGCTGTAAGTACAGATGAAGCTTTGTTTGCTTGCTTGCTGCTCACCTCCTGCTGTGCGGCCCAGTCCTTAACAGGCCACAGGCTGGTACTTGTTCATAGCTGGGGAGCTAGGGACACCCAATGTAGGGGATGGGAGGTTGAGGTGTTCCTCCTTTGTCTTGTGATACTTTGTGCTTCATGGGTTAGTTACCTGTATAAACATCTTTTTAGCACTAACTGGTGAAATCATCCTTGTGACCAGCTCCCTAAAGCACTGCCTATCCAGCAGCCAAGGTCGGATGTGGGGAATAAAACAGCACTGGACTATGGCATTTCCTTAGGTTTTCCCTGATACTGGTTATGATGGAATATGGGTACTTGTGCAGCTGTGGTATATGAGGGAATAGGTTCATTCATTCTGTTTACAGAGACCAAAGAAAACCGGAGGGACTTTACCCAGTTGGTGATATGGAGCAAGTGCCATCAACAGGCAGACTCGTGCAGATCACTGTGACAGAGGGATATGATTTGGTAAAGTTACTTTTGGAAATTCACAAAATCCTTAGTTTTGGGAGTACCTGCAGAAGGAATGGAATTTTGCTTCATTCTCCTCTACCTCCAAATCTTCTGGCTTTACATAGCAGTGGCCTTTCACCTCAGTGTTCCTTATTGTTAGTCTATAATCTCCAAGTCACATTATTGTGTGCCTCAAATGCCTGGCAATCTGAATATTAACAGGGTGAAAGAAGCAGTGGTTTTAGTTTCCATAGACAGCAGTTCACATAAATTTTTTTTTCCTTTCTCCTGAGAAGGATCTGAATTCTTCCAGAGTTTCCCTTGTGATTAATTCTTTTTGATTACGCCTGTAATCCCAGCACTTTGGGAGATTGAGGTGGGCGGATCATGAGGTCAGGGGTTTGAGACCATCCTGGCCAACATAGTGAAACCTTATCTCTACTTAAAAAAAATGTAAAAATTAGCCAGGTGTGGTGGCAGCTACCTGTAATCCCAAGCTACTTGGGAGGCTGAGGCAGGAGAATCACTCTAACCTGGGAGGCAGAGGTTACAGTGAGCTGAGATCATGCCACTGCACTCCAGCCTGAGAGACAGTGTGAGACTCCGTCTCAAGAAAAAAAAAAAGAAAAAAAAGAGAACAACATTGTGATATACTAAAAATTAGGAGTATAATAAAATGGGAAAATATTCTGTATATTAAGTTTAAAAAGATCATTCCAAAAGAGGATATAATTAATGAGCTCCACTTTGTTTTAAAATATATGTATAAAAATGAATATATATGTGCATGTATGGGTACACATATGTACATCCATATATTCACAAAAAAACACTAGAAAATATATTCTAAAATGTTAATAGTGCTTACATGTTAAAGTAAGATTGCAGGTAATTTTCTTTTAAAAATGTTCCTCAGCATACTTTTATTATCAGGTGAAACAATAAATATTATTTTCAATATCCCAACAACAGCACTTAAATGGAATGTTGCATTTAAGTAAAACTAGATTTGTTTAATGATATTTCTACCTATTTATTTTGTTTTGTGATGTGGCTTGTTAGGAAAAAATGAAAAATGCTATTTAGCCCAAATCAAAATAGGCTGCCAGATGTGTAGGAAAATTCTCTATTTGAATATATTTGTAAAGTGCTGCGTTTCTGCCAACAGAAAGGTTTTAAAGGAGATACTCCAGTTACCTTTATTCGTGCAGAATTCAATCAAGTGGTTCTGGGAGACTCTGCAAAAATTACTGTTTCTCCAGAAGGAACTGCAAAATACAATTTCACTAGCAGTTTTGAGTTTAATCCTGAAGGAGGAATCACTTTAGATGACCTCGCTCACAAACCTGTGTTCTGTAAGTCCTTGTGGTTCTAAAAATCAGTGTCTTGATTGCCTTCTTCCTTATCATGTTGAATGCAAAAAGCAGAACTAAAACATTCTTTTTTTTTTTTTTTGCTCAGCAATCTTTATTCGGTTCTTGGGGGTGGGATGCCTCCCTGCCCATGCTCCCACCCTCTCATCCCAGAGCTCCATTGGGCTCAGAGCCCTCTGTTGAGGGAAGGTCTTGGTGCCTGGTCTGGAGGAGAGGGAGGCTCCTTGTCCCTTTGCGGGAGTCGCTGGTCTCTTCTGTTGTGGGGAAGAAGGAAGCTGGGAGGGGCGCTGTCCACTAGCACTCAGAGCTCCATTATGTCCCCAGCTGGGGTCGAGGGGTAGGAGGGACTGGGGATGTCCCCCAGCCTCAGCAGCCGGAGGGCTGCAGGGATCAGGCTGCCAGGGTATCGCCAGAGAAGCAGCTCAGAGCAAGAGCTCCTGAGTGGGGTCAGGGCCGGGGGGAAGGTCATGGGGGGCTGCAGTAGGGGTGATCATTGTGCAGGCTGAGTTGAGAGAAATGGGTGGCCATGTTCTCCTCAGACAAAAACTGCTTGCGCAGAGGCTCCCTAGCGTCCAGGCCGCGAGTCACCCCCAAGGCGGCCCGCGGGAAGCGCTGGGCCCCACCCTGCGGGCCTCGCTCCAAGGCCTGCTCCAGGATCATTGGGTTTTGGGGTCCTGCGGGTGGGATCTGGGCGACGGAGGCCTAAAACATTCTTTTAAACATGTAACTAAAATCACAATAAAGAAAGGGTAGTTCCTTTGTTCCCAGAAGCAGTGCAAGAACTGAAAACCGGAAATCTTGAACAGCTGCCGTTGGTGTGTATATGTTAGTGGAGGTGTGCAGGGAGAAGGCAGTACTCCTGAACCTAGGAGATTGGATTTTAATGCTCTCACAAGGACAGAAAAGCTTTGGCTGCTGTTGGTGGAGAAATAGAGCCTAGGACTACCTCTTCATCACAAGTTAAGTCTCTCAAAAAGAATGGACTAGGAAAAAAAATCTGTTTATCAGCATTTCTGTCTAGATCCTGGGTAAAGAAAAGAGTCTTCACTAGGAATAATCATAGGCTTGTACTAACCATTAAAGAACTATATACTTTTAAAACACAGGAGGAACATTTATATAATAGCAATTGGCTATATTCTAAGCTGTAAAGCAAATCCTACCATATATCAATGGATCAATAGCATGCAGACCACCTTTTCTGCCAAAATACAACAATCAACAAAATTAGCCAACAACAAAAAGATAGCCAAAAACCATTTTGAAATTTAAAAACATACTTATGAATAATTCATGGGACAAATAAAAAAGCATAAAATTGCAAAGCATTTGGAAAAGATCAACAGTAAAACACCAAATATAAAAATTTGTGGGATATAGTTAAAGTTGTACTTAGAGGTACATTTATAATCTTAAGCACATTAATTAGAAATTAAAAGGATTAAAAACAACTTTTGAGAAGTTGGAATAAATGTACTTTTCTCTATTCCTCCCACTCAGTACAGCTACAAACCCTGGACATTATATATAAAACAAACGTAAAAGACTCTGAAAGGTAGAGAGAAGGAGACTTGGGACCTGGGGAATGAGAGTGGTGAGTTCCTTGGGTTTTCTTTTTGCCTTATATATCCCAGACTTCTTGCTGAAGAAGGTGGCAACCTGGAGACACGAATGGACACAGACCAAAAAAAAGAAAGAAAGGCTGATAAAAGTCTGCTCTGTTTAGCCAAAAGACTATCAAAGGGGCAGCCTAGTAAGCCAGAAAAGATTTTTACAGTAACTGCTGTACTCCAGCAAACACCACAGGAAAAAATGGTAGCCCCCACCCTCAATCAAGCTGAGTGGAGAGCCTAGACTTCCACTCTCACAAAGCTCAAAAATGAGGTTCTCCATTACCCTAGTGATATCAGAGAAGACCAAGTAGGGAGCCAGTATTTTCATCCCCTCTAGTAATAAGTCCCCTTCTATCCCCCATAATGTTAATGGAGACCATGTGGATCTTGGACTTCTATCCCAAACTGTCAGCAACAAGATGCCCCTTCACTTCCCATTGGAGTGGTGACAGAGGAGGCCTAGTTTAGAGTCAGAACTTTCACTATCATCCAGGGATAATGAGTCCACACCCACTGTGGTATCAGTGGAAACCAAGTTAAGAATCAGGGCTCCAGATCCCCTACTCAGCAGTCATGAGGAGCTGCCCCCATCAGGCATCAGCAGAGGCTGAGTAGGGAACCTAGACTTCACCCCAACTTGGCAGTAATGAGGCAGCATTTCCTTCTTTCTCCTGTTGGGGTGGTGTTGGAAAAAGCCAGCTAAAGCAGAAGGTATAAGTAAGAGCCAGAGATTCATAATAATAGGAAAAGTCTGGGTTTCTACTGAAAACTATAAGTCATTCCAAGAACTGGAAGATCTGAAATTGAATTAAAAAACATAAAGTATGGGTGCAGTAGCTCATGCCTGTAATCCCAACACATTGGGAGGCCAATGTGGGCAGATCACTTTGAGCCCAAGGAGTTTAAGAGCAGCCTGGGCAGCATGGTGAAACCTCATTTCTACTAAAAATACAAAACTAGCTGAGTGTGGTGATGCATACCTGTAATCTCATCTACTCGGGAAGCTCAGGCACGAAAATTGCTTGAGCCCAGGAGACGGAGGTTGCAGTGAACTGAGATCGTGCCACTGCACTCTAGCCTGGGTGACAGAGCAAGACCCTGTCTTCAGAGTAATAATAATAATAATAAATTAAAACATAATCACTACTACCAAGATGGTAGATATGTTAGAATTATGAGACAATGATTTTTTTTTTTTTTTTTTTGAGACAGAGTCTCACTCTGTTGCCAGGCTGGAGTATAGTGGTGCAATCTCAGCTCACTGCAAACTCTGACTCCCAGGTTCAAGCAATTGTCTTGCCTCAGCCTTCCGAGTAGGTGGGATTATAAGCATGCACTGCCACATCCAGCTAATTTTTCTATTTTCAGTTGAAACAGGGTTTCACCATATTGGTCAGGATGGTCTCCATCTGACCTCATGATCCACCTACCTCGGCCTTCCAAATTGCTGGGATGATAGGCATGAGCCACTGTGCCTGGCAAGACAATGATTTTAAAGAAGCCATGATAAAAATGTTTAAATGAGCAATTATAAACATGCTGGAAACAAAGGAGAAAATAGATTCAGCAAAGAAACAAAGTCTCAGGAAATAGAAAATACAAAGAAGAACCAAATAGAAAGTTTAGAACTGAAAAATACAGTAACTGATAGAAAAAGCTCAGTAAATGGGCATAACAGCATAATGGAGAATAGAGTGGAAAGAATCAGACAGGAAGGTAGAAATTACCCAGTCTTAACAATAGAGAAGAAATAGACTAAAAAAAAATGAAAAGAGCTTTAGAGACCTGTGGGACCATAGCAATATAACATCAGAGTCTTAGAAGGAAAGGAGAAAGAGGATGGGTCTGAAGAGGTATTCAAATAAGTAATGTATTAAAACTTCCCAAATTTGACAAGAAACATAAGCCTACAGATTAAAGAGGCTGAGCAAACCTCCAACAGGAGGATAAACCAAAAGAAATCTGCACTAAGAAATGTAATGAAACTCATGAAAACAAATGGCATAGAAAACTTGAAAGCAGCCATGGGAAAACAGAATGACGTCAGATTCTCATTAGAAACCATGGAAGTCAGAAAGAAGTGGCACAATATTTTCAATGATAAAAGAACTGTCATCCAGGTGCAGTGGCTCATGCCTGTAATCCCAGCACTTTGGGAGGCCGAGGCGGGCTGATCATGAGGTCAGGAGATTCAGACCATCCTGGCTAACATAGTGAAATGCCATCTCTACTAAAAATACAAAAAATTAGCTGGGTATGGTGGCACATGCCTGTAGTCTCAGCTACTTGGGAGGCAGAGGCAGGAGAACTCAAGAAGCGGAAGTTGCAGTGAGCCAAGATTGCATCACTGCACTCCAGCCTGGGTGACAAAGTGAGACTTCATCTCAAAAAAAAAAAAGAAAGAAAGAACTGTCAACCCAGAATCCTATACCCAGAGAAGATATCCTTCATATACAAAAGGGTAGTCAACACATCCTAAGGTGAAAGAAAAGAGAGAATTTGTCACCAACAGACCTACCCAAAGAGGAAGTTGAAGGAAGTTCCCTAAACAGAAAGGAAGTAGTAACCTTGGAACAGCAGAAAAGAAGAAAGCATGGTAAGGAAAAATTTGGATAAATAAAGTAAGCTTTCCTTCTTGGGTTTTCCAAATTGTGTTCGACAGTTGGAACAAAACATGACACTGTGTGATGTGATTCGAAATGTACATAGAGAAAATACTTAAGGCAGTTATAGTGGGAGGATAAAGGGACATGAAGGGAAGTAAGATATCTATATATCAGTCAAACTGGTGAAATGGTGACAACAGTAGACTATGAAAAGTAATGTACATATAATGTAATACCTAGAGCAACAACTACAAATTCTGTACAAAGAGATATAGTCAAAATATTAGAGATAAAATGCAATTTAGAAAATGTTCAAGTAATGCACAGAAAGGCAGGAAAAAGCAGAGAAATGAAAAACAGGACAAATACAGAAACAAAAGAACCCCAGCAGACTTAAGCCCTACTATATTAATAATTAAAGTAAATATACCATTAAATTGTGCCACTGCATTCCAGCCTGAGTGACAGAGTGAGCCCCTACCTCAAAGCAAAACAAAACCCACCAACTAAGAGAGAGAGTGGATTTAAAAACTTTGCTGTCTACAAGAAACTCAAAATATAACCATATATTCAGGTTCAAAGTAAATACTTAAGGCAGTATTTACGTTTATTAGTAAAGGAAATCAAAAGTAACTATATGAGCATCAAAGTATACTTCACAGCAAAGAAAATAATCAGACACAGACACATTCATTGATAAAAGGGTCAATCTACAAAGAAGATATTGTACTTCTAAGTGGGTATGCACCAAACAGTTGCACAATGTGAAGCAAAACCTGATACAACTGTCAGAAAAATAGATCAATGAAATAGATAAATCTACAATTATAGTTGGAGACTTAAACACCCGTTTCTCAACAATTTATGTAATAACTGAAGACAAAATCAGCAAGGATAGAAAAAAACCTCAGTGATGATATTAACCAACATAATCCAATCAATATTTATAGAACATCTAACAATAGTAGAATAACATTATTTTCAAAAGCCCACAAACCATATATCAAGATCACATCCTGGGCCATAAGCTAAACCTCAACAAGTTTAAATGAATTTAAATAATATAGAATGTGTTCTCTGACAGCAGTAGCATCTAAGTAGAAGTCAATAAGATAGTAGGAAATTCTCCAGATACTTGGTAACTAAAAGACACTTGAAAATAATTCATGGGTCAAAAACGAAGTCTCAAGGGAAATAAATAATAGTCTCTGATTAAGTGCCCACTGTGAGGCAGCAATGAGCTATGGTCCCATCCTACCGAATGCCAGCCTGGGTGACAGAGCAAGACCCTGTCTCTAAACAACAACAAAAAGAAACTAAAAGGCAAACTTCTAAATAATCCATGAGTCAAAGAGGACATGTCATGGGAAATAAAAAATACAATAAACTGAATTGAAATGAAAATATGACATGTCAAAGCCTGTTGACATGGCTAAAGCAGTGCTGAGAAAACTTATAGCACTAACTGAATACATTAGGAAAAAGGAAAAGTCTCCAATCAAGTACCCATTTCAAGAATCTAGAAAAATAAGAGCAAAAGAAACCCAAAGCAAGAAAAAGCAAGAAAAAATAATAAAGACGAGAACAGAAATCAATGAAATGTAAAACAGAAAAACAATGGAAAAAAATAGATGAAACAAATAGCTGGTTATTTGAAGACGTCAATGAAATTTGCAAACTTCTAGGAAGACTAACCAAGAAAAGGCAAAAAAGAAAAGAAATTACCAATATTAGGAGTAAAATGGAATAACAACTTGAACCCTGTAGACATTAAATGGGTAATAAGGCAATATTATGGACAACCCTATGCATGTAAACTTGACAACTAAAAGGAACAGTTCTTTATAAAACACAAACCAGCCGGGTGCAGTGGCTCACACTTGTAATCCCAGCACTTTGGGAGGCTGAGGCAGGTGGATCACCTGAGGTCAGGAGTTCAAGACCAGCCTGGCCAACATAGTGAAAACCCATCTCTACTAAAAATATAAAAATTAGCTGGGTGTAGTGGCGTGCACCTATAATCCAAGCTACTTGGGAGCCTGAGGCAGGGGAATTGCTTCAATCAGGGAGGTGGAGGTCTCAGTGAGCCAAGATAGTGTCACTGCACTCCAGCCTGGGTGACAGAGCGAGACTCTGTCTCAAAAAAAAAAAAAAAAAAAGAAAGAAAGAAAGTAAAAGAAAGATGGGAAAAAATTTGAAGAGATGGAAAGGGAACCTATAGAATAAAAGAGACTTAAGAGATAGCAACTAATTAACAATGTGTGGCCTTATTTGGCCCTTGATTCAAATAAATGGTAAAGAAAATGCCACTGAGGGAACTGAAGGTTGAACAACAGCAAGGTATGCCATGTTCTTAGGAATGTTCAATATTTTAAAGATGTAATTTTTCCTGTTTATTTATAAATTGAATGTGATCTCTGTAAATCAGCCAACATTTTAAAATGTTATCAAATTTCTATAGAAAATATTTTTTTAAGTAAAAAATAATCAGGAGATTCTGAAAAGAAGGATTATTAGTCCTACATGTTAGAAAAACATGAAACCATAGTAAAACAGTGTAGTACTGGGACATGCATAGACATACAGATCATTGAAACAGACTAGAAGGTCCAGATGTAGTTGTCAGTACTTCTAGTAAGTTAGCATATGGTTAAGATGACATGTCAAATCAATGGGGGTAAGGCGGAACATGGATTATGTAACCAAAGGTATGGGGACACCTGGGTAGCTATCTGGGAAAAAAATGTAACCAGTCTTAAAATTACACCAAAGTCGGGCATGGTGGCTCATGCCTATAATCCCAGCACTTTGGGATGCTGAGGCAGGCAGATCACTTGAGCCCAGGAGTTCAAGAACAGCCTGGGCAATATGGCTAAGCTGTCTCTATTAAAAAATACAGAAATTAGCTGTGTGCAGTAGTGAGCCCTAGCTACTCCAGTGGCTGAGGTGAGAGGATCACTTGAGCCCTTGAGGCAGGGGTTGCAGTGAGCTGAGATCACACCACTGCATTCCAGCCCAAGTGACAGAGTGAGACCTCATCTCAAAAAATAAACAAACACCAAAATAAATACCAGCTGCATAAAATATGTGTCAAAAATTAAACCATGTAAGTACCATAAGAAATCCTGGAATTAAAATAATCAGTGATAAACCTTTGTAAGTATTTCACAACTGTAGAAACCACAGAAGAAAAATATGTATTTTTTACATAAGCAACCATAAGATAAGCCACAAACTGGAATACAATTTGCAATTAATTTCAGTACAGAAGGCAAATTTACCTTTAAAGAGCTCTTACATATTGATAAGAGCAAGAATCTAATGGAAAAGTATACAAAACATATGAAAGGAATACAAAAAGTTCATGGAAAAGGAACTATAACTGGTCCTTAAATATATGGAAAAAATTTCAACCTGACTCTAATACAAAAAATAAACTTATGCTTAGATGCTATTTTCATCTGTCAGATTACAAAGATCACAGAATTTGATAACATACCACACAGGTAAATGTGTTATCAAACTCTGTTATCCTTGCTGAAAACGCTAAAGCTGAACGAAAGTAGGAAACATAGGAATTGAGAAACAAATAAAATACTATGAGGAATAAAATGAGACAAATCTAGAAGATGTGACATTCTATGTAACTATTAGCCTGGTGTCTTCAATGAAAGAGAGAAATATTTGAGAGAAAAAGTATGTGTAAAGGAAGGACTGTTATAAATGAAAAGAAACATGACAACCAAATGCAACAAGTGGCCTTTGAGTGGATTCTGGTTTGAACAGACCAGCTATAAAATAATTTTGGGGATAACTGGGAAATGTTAAGTATAAACTGGACACTAGATGAATTAAGGAATTATTTAATGCTATTATCACACACTTGCTAGATGTGGAAACTGTGGTTTTCTAGGAAAATGTCTTATTGGGGATTTATATACTTTGGTATTTAGGAGTAAAATGTCACGATGTCTGTAATTTATTTTAAAAGTACTTCAGCAAACAAAGCAAATATGATAAAGTATTTGAGCAAACAAAGCTACATATGATGAAGCAAAAAAATTGTTAAATTTAGATTATGGTTATATGGGTAGTTGTTATACTATTCTGCTTTGTGTACTGAAATTTAAGTGTTAAGCATACAGAGTAATGCTGTAGTGAAAAACATTGTACATACAATGCTACTGGATTACTCCAAAATCTGTTAAGCCTTATAGGAGGCAATATGGGGAGATCTAGAGCAGTGTTTTTCATTTTTCTTTTTTTTTTTTGACCCAAGCTTAAGGGATAAATACAAGATAGAGCAGTGTTTTTCAAACTTCAGATTGTAACTTTGTTGGTCATTCCTAAAATCAATTGATGGGCATTATGACCATTAATTTTGTCTATATGAAATAGAATAGAAAATGCCTAAGGATTTTGACCTAGTCAAGATTAATATTATATGAAGCTTTGTTATATAACTGTATGTATCAGTTCCTTTTATACACATGCATGTATGTGATTATGATCTAAAACCCATTTCTATTATAACTTGCAGGCAAAAAGTTCAAAAGTCACTGAAGTAGTCCAGTATTTTCCACCAAAAGTCACTGATGTTGGTGCCTTCTCTACTTTCAAGTTTATTTTTTTAAACTTATATATCTTTGACAATGCTTTGTTTGTTGCACCCTGGTTATTGGATGGATGAGTTTTAAATGTCTCATTTTCTTTGTTTTGATTTTTCTAGTAACTGTGACTGAAGTTTTACCGAAGGAAAAGAAACAGAAAGAAGAGAAGACCTTAATTCTTGGTCAAGCTGTGGTGGATCTTCTTCCCTTACTGGAAGGTCAGATGTATGCTTTGCCGAAAAGTGGAAATGGGAAAGCTCATAAAATTTAGCCCCAGACAGATACAAAAATTAGCCTCAATGAATTTGAGGGATTTGAGGGGAAAAGTGGGCACATTTATCTCTGCCTGCAATCGCACTAACTTAACCCTTTCTTCTTTGGCTCAACATGGGCTTCTTTTTGCAGGACAGAGTTCATTTCAAACAGCAGTTCCATTGCACTCTGTGCAGGGCTCGCCCTTAGAGACTCCTAGATCAAGTGCTAAGGTAATCAGAGTTTTAGCTCTCTACATTTTAGCCTGCCATTCAATCTAACAAGTCTGTCTGCTATTAAGGTTCAATTTGGTTGAGTGTAATGTATTGGGCATTTTCTTTTCACAGCACACACAGCGTTAGATTCTGGGAAACAAAGATAATAAGGCTGAGTCCTACTTTGAAAGCCCACAATCTGTATATCATAGATTATAACCCAGTGTGATTAAATGGTGGAGTGAGGCACATGGGCACAGAGCAGGTATCAGTTACATTGTCCACGGGTAGAGGCAAGGAAGACTTAACCATGGAAATAACTCTTGAGCTATGTCCTGATGGATCACGTAGTATATGAAAGCGTCTCATATACTTTAGGGCATGGTAGCATGCTTCTCATTGAAAATTTCTAATCCAACAGTTCCAGCCCAGGCCCATTTCTGGAATTCTAGAATGTCAGACTTTGCAAGCACCTACTATATACCTCTATAATGTTATCCCATAGGCACCTAAAACTCAACATTCCAGAACTGAACTCAGTGTTTTCCCTGAAACCTACTCTTCCTTTTATCTTAGTTTTTTGACTAGTGGCATCACCCATCCATTAAATCATGGAACATAGAACCTAAATTACGTCTATGACTGTTCCCTCAGACCCTAACTACATCCAGTCCTCAAATCTGCCTTTCATCATATCCTGCCTTTTCCATCTTCTAAGTGTCTTTAGGTTTCCTTTTTGGATTCATTCCTACTTTTTTTGCCTTATTATCTCTCACTTGGATGGTTACAAGTAGTCTTGTGCCGCCGGGCACGGTGGCTCAAGCCTGTAATCCCAGCACTTTGAGAGGCCGAGGAGGGTGGATCACGAGGTCAAGAGATCCAGACCATCCTGGTCAACATGGTGAAACCCCGTCTCTACTAAATAATACAAAAAATTAGCTGGGCATGGTGGCGCGTGCCTGTAATCCCAGCTACTTGGGAGGCTGAGGCAGGAGAATTGCCTGAACCCAGGAGGCGGAGGTTGCTGTGAGCCGAGATCACGCCATTGCACTCCAGCCTGGGTTACAAGAGCGAAACTCCGTCTCAAAAAAAAAAAAAAAAAAAGTAGTCTTGTGCCTACCTTTGCCTCCCGCTAGTTCAATCTTCCCATGGCTTGCACAGTGATTAAAAAGTGAATCTGATCTCATCTCTTCCCCTACTTAGTACTGTGTAGTTCATGGATTCACCCACTGCTTACAAGTTAAGGTCCAGGTCCAGATTGCTTAGCAGGCGTAAGGCATCTTTTTTTTTTTTTTAGACAGCGTATTGCTTTGTTGCCAGGCTGGAGTGCAGTGGCATGATCCCAGCTCACTGCAACCTCCACCTCCTGGGTTCAAGCAATTCTCCTGCCTTAGCTTCCTGAGTAGCTGGAACTACAGGTGTGCACCACCACGCCCAACTAATTTTTATTTTTTAGTAGAGACGGGGTTTCACCATATTGGCCCGGATGATCTTGATCTCTTGACCTCGTGATCCGCCCGCCTTGGCCTCCCAAAGTGCTGGGATTTCAGGCGTGAGTCACCGCGCCTGGCTAGTGTATTTTATGATGGGAGCCTCTCTCTTTAACCTCATCTTCCATTATTCCTCTCCTTATATTAATACCTCAAGTTCCAGAATCCTGAATTACTTACATATACCTAAATGGAAGATACCATACTGTTCCAATCCCCCTTTACATAGACTATTTTTCCTTCTAAGACTAGTCAAGTGCAGTAGTGAGAAGCAGGGAAAGAAGCAAACAAAAAATTTGATCTGTAACTGACTGGGAAAAGTCAATTGAGATAACTCACTACCTTTGGACCAGCCTAGATAAACTGTTTTTATCTAGAATTATTTCTCTTTCCTTCCTCTGCTAATCCAGGTTTTAAACGATAGTCATCCTGTAACTGTCAGCCCAGCCAAATAGTTAATTCACTTCCTCCTTGGTGTCCTTGACACCATTTTGTACAGGTCTCTAGTATAGATTTCACATAGATCATGGCACTATGCCATGAGTTCCATGTTGAAGGGAACTATATATTCTTTGTCTTTATATCCCCAGTGATGTAGCAAAGTGCCTAGCATTCTATACACAATTTTTTTTTTTTTTTTTTGAGACGGAGTTTTGCTCTTGTTGTCCAGGCTGCAGTGCAATGGCATGATCTCAGCTCACTGCAACCTCTACTTCCTGGATTCAAGCAATTCTCCTACCTCAGCCTACTGAATACCTGGGATTGCAGGCAGTCACTACCGTGCCTGGCTAATTTTTATATATTTTTTCTTTTTTTGAGACAGAGTCTTGCCCTATAGCTCCGGCTAGAGTGCAGTGGCGTGATCTTGGCCCACTGCATCCTCTATCTCCCAGGTTCTGGTTCAAGCCATTCTCCTGCCTCAGCCTCCCAAATAGCTGGAATTACAGGCATGCACCACCATGCCCAGATAATTTTTGTATTTTTAGTAGAAATGGGGTTTCACCATGTTGGCCAGCCTGGTCTTGAACTCCTGACCTCAGGTGATCCTCTCGCCTCAGCCTCCCAAAGTTCTGAGATTACAGGCATGAGCCACCTTGCCTGACCTCAAAACACATTTAAAACCTACTTTGTACATGTCCTGAGTGAAAATGTCAGAGATATACACATATATGTCTATACCTATTTATGTGGAATATATACATAACCGTTTGAAAAAAATTTCTTATTACAGAGCATTATTTAAATTACAAAAATAATCATAAGATATAGACTAGCCAAAAAAGCATCTAATCTCACGCATGTGCAACTACTATTGACATTTCATTTTTTTCTTTTTTTGAGATGGAGTTTCACTCTTATTGCCCAGGCTGGAGTGCAATGGCACAATCTCAGCTCATGGCCTCCCCGGGTTCAAGTGATTCTCCTGCCTCAGCCTCAGCCTCCCCAGTAGCTGGGACTACATGGCATACACCACCATGGCTGGCTAATTTTGGTATTTTTAGTAGAGATGGGTATTCACCATGTTGGCCAGGCTAATCTTGAACTCCTGATCTCGGGCGATACACCTGTCTCGGCTCCCAAAGTTCTGGGATTATAGGAGTGAGCCACCACACCCAGCCAACATTTCGATTGTATCTTCCAATTCCTGTTTATATGTATTTATCTATATACTTTACCTCAGAATGGTAGAGTGGGAAGGGATTTAGTTTAGGGATAAGATTCTCTTCTTGGCTCTATCTTTTCTAAATCGTGGGATCTAGAGAATATTATTTCAGTTTATGGAAATAAGCTTTACCTTCTTATCTTGAACAGTGATATGAGATTCAAATGAGTTAATGAAAAAAGGAAGACCTCTGGCAATTTTCAAAATGCTGCATAATTTTATTCTTTTACAGCAGTGCAGTCTTGAAGTTAAAGTATTAGTGGCAGAACCTTTACTGACCACAGCCCAGATCTCAGGGGGCAATCTACTGAAGATCACATTGGAGGCTGCTTACTCTGTGCCTGAATCCTTCATTCCAACAGGTCCTGGGCAGAACTATATGGTCGGTCTGCAAGTGCCATCAGTTGGAGAGGTAAAGCCCTACTGCCGGATATTTATAGAGATTCAAACATGTCTGCACTCACATAGCCATCTCTTCCTCACCTCTAAGATTTCATTCAAAGCACTACTTTGCTAATGGCTGAGATTTATTTTAGGCTTGAAAAATAAAGTTTATTTCTGTTTTATATACAGATTTTAATGTTTATGATTTACATATTTATTTTATATTGTACTTTAAATATAATTTATATAAATATATGGTGGAAAATATGTAAGACATTTAAAATGGCCAATTTTGGTGTATTTCCTTATAGATTATTTTTATGTGTACATTTTATAGATTTTGTACAATTACTTTATTAAACAAAACTTTCTCTTAATTCTATGTTACTTTCTTAGGCCAAATTTCTATATATAGGAATGACTGGATATGGAGTTTCTTAGGCTCTTGATAGAGATTTCTAAATTGCTTGCTAAAAGGCTTATATTCAGTTAACACTTCCACTTGTCTTATATCCAGGGCCATGTATGTGAATGACCCACTAGAGTTGTGTAGCAACTGTTCAGTTTGCTGAGGGCTTATGAGGTTCTTGGGACATTGGGACATTTCCTCTGTTGGTACAGCATCAGCCCATGACCTTATACCTTGGGTATTGAGTTGCTGCTGCTGCCCGTTCTGGCACTTTTAAACTTCCTTTTTTTGAGACAGAGTCTCACCCTGTTGCCCAGGCTGGAGTGCAGTGGTGCAATCTCGGCTCACTGCAACTTCTACCTCCCAGGTTCAAGCGATTCTCTTGCCTCACCCTCCTGAGTAGCTGGGACTACAGGCACCTGCCACCACACCGGGCTAATTTTTGTATTTTTAGTACAGACAGGCTTTCATCATATTGGCCAGGCTAGTCTCAAACTCCTGACCTTGTGATCCATCTGCCTCGGCTTCCCACAGTGCTACGATTACAGACGTGAGCCACTGCACCCAGCCTAGACTTTCATTTACTTCTTTTGGCCTTGGCTATATGATAAAAGAAAACTTTTTTGTTGTTGTTGTTGCTGTTTTACTTTATCGATTATGTTGATGTGTTTGTTGCTGACGAAGGGTCTGTTGTACTTTAGTTTGCTATAGTGTTGGAAATAGAACGTTTTATATATATATATAAAATATTGCATTTTAGGTTTTTGGGTACATGTGCAAGATTGTTGCATAGGTACACACATGGCAATGTGGTTTGCTGCCTTCCTCCCCATCACCTATATCTGGCATTTCTCCCCATGTTATCTCTCCCCAACTCCCCACCCCCCACTGTTCCTCTCCTAGTTCCGCCACAGACCCCAGTGTGTGATGCTCCCCTCCCTGTGTCCATTTGTTCTCATTGTTCTACACCCACCTTTGAGTGAGAACATGCAGTGTTTGATTTTCTGTTCTTGTGTCGGTTCACTGAGAATGATGGCTTCCAGGTTCATCCATGTCCCTACAAAGGACACGAACTCATTGTTTTTTATGGCTGTATAGTATTCCATGGTGTATATGTGCCACATTTTTCCTGTCCAGTCTATCATTGATGGGCATTTGGAAACTTCTTTTAAGGGCCATTTATATTTCTTTTCCAGTAAACTTTTTGTTCCTGTTCTTTATCTATATATCTCTATATCTATCTATTATTAAGAGACAGGGTCTCACTCTATCACCTAGGCTGGAGTGCAGTGCACAATCATAGATTACACTTTCATAGATTGAACTTCTGGACTCAAGCAATCCTCTCACCTCAGCCTCCCAAGTAGCTGGGACTATAGGTGCATGCCGTCTCACCTGGCTAATTTTTAAATTTTTTTGTCAAAATGGGGTCTTGCTGTGTTGCCCAGGCTGGTTTTGAACTCCTGGCTTCAGGTGATCCTCCTGGCTCTATCTCCCAAAATATTGGGATTATAGGCATTAAGCCTCCTTGCCTGGCTGATATCTCATTGTTTTCATGTGTATTTTACTGATTATTAATGAAATGTAGCATGTTTTTATTTAAATGTTGGATTTTCTAATTTCCCCTTTTATAAATTGCCTACTTATCTATTTTACCAATTTTTTTTTTTTTTTTTTGAGACGGAGTTTCGCTCTTGTTACCCAGGCTGGAGTGCAATGGCATGATCTCGGCTCACCGCAACCTCTGCCTCCTGGGTTCAGGCAATTATCCTGCCTCAGGCTCCCGAGCAGCTGGGACTACAGGCACGCGCCACCATGCCCAGCTAATTTTTTGTATTTTTAGTAGAGACAGGGTTTCACCATGTTGACCAGGATGGTCTCGATCTCTTGACTTCGTGATCCACCCGCCTCGGCCTCCCAAAGTGCTGGGATTACAGGCGTGAGCCACTGCGCCCGGCCCTATTTTACCCATTTTTACTGCAAGTATACTTTGGATAAGATATAAGACATGACAATGCCTGTATTTTTAGCCCCTTGCCATATTTTGGTTTGTTTTCTAAAGGATAACTTTTAAGCAGGTATAAACAGAACTCTCATATAAGCATAAATAACACAGGATTTGGTCCAAGATTTTGTTTAACTAATTAGTGAGGGAATCAGTAAAATGTGACAACGAGTTCAAAGGAGTATATAGGCATATGGAATGCTGAAATTAATTTACCAGTAATTCAAAACTTGTCATTAGCTCCAGGGCAGTAATTAGTTACATTGCCACTGGACAAACTATATGTGCATATTTATGAACAAGAATAATTTGCATCATTATCAAATGTTTATAAGTTACAGAATTATAAAATAGTACAAAGGCAATGAAGGGCACAGGCCCCTCTCTAGAATCAGATTAATTATAGAAGGGTATGTTTGATAACACTTAGCATACCATTGAAAATACTCTTAAGTAATCTTTTTGTCCATTTCAAAGTTTTTTATAATTTTTCCTGATGTATGGTATTTATTTCTGTAGAAAGACTATCCCATTTTATTTAAGAATGGAACTCTGAAGCTTGGAGGGGAAAGAGAACCTGTTCCCCGGCCCAAAAAGTGGCCAATTGCCAACATTCTGGCTCCAGGAGCTAATAACATTCCTGATGCATTCATCATTGGTGGTCCCTATGAAGAAGAAGATGGAGAACTCAACCATCCTGAGGTGAGAGACAGCCTGATGTACAGGTTTTTGTGATAAATTTAGTATACTGACAGATGGTAAAACATTTTGTGAACCACTATAGTTTATATATATCTGCCACCTGTCAAAATAAAACAATTACATGCCAATATAAAACACTTATCTAATTCTGATGCAAATATCTCTGACTTCTTAAGTACAGCAAACAAAATAATTTATATCAAATGTACCTTTATTTTTTCCCCTCATCCTGTTGCTAAAACTGTTTTATTTTAAATTTATTTATGAATAGGTAATTATCAGTCACTGTCAAAATTAAAAACTAAGATATATGCAGTGAAAGTGTTCCTCTATTTATGTCTCTTCCTTCTAATTCCTTCCCATCTCATTATCCTAGTAGTGATAGCAGCAGTAGCCATTCTGGAGCAGCCCCTGCCATGATGCTGGCTGCAATTGGGGAGGCCCGGCTGGGTCTACACGCTCCATGGAGCCAGCAGGAGCCGGGAAGAAGTGGGAGCCCCACCCGCCCATGTGCAGCTGCAGCTGCCCAGCCACGTAACAGCTGCGTACCCAGGCATTTCTGCACTCTTGGAGGCTGGGAAGCCCTCCTGCCCCCATAGGTTTGGAAGTGTGTGCTCCCACTGCCTGATCTCTGCCCATTCCCAGTGCCTGCTCCAATTTCAGAGCAAAGCTGTGGCCAAGCATGGGTGCTGTCACAATCTGGCCAGGTGTGCATGCACTCAGGCCAGCACTGACACACGAACCCCCTGCTGCCTCGGTCTCCCTCCAGACTTTGGGCACCCATGAGCATGGGAGAAAGTCCGAGGAGACACTGAGGGCAGCTTGGCATGGGCCTGCAGGTGCCCCTTGGCATGAACAACCAGGGTGCTGTGGATGGCAGCAGGAGGCAGACAGGCTCCTGGGCAAAAAGGGGCAGGTTCCCAGTGTAACCCCACCTTCAGGCCAGGGACTGCCTGAGGTCTGGGGACCAGGCTGCTAGTTCTGTGGACCGGAATGAGAACTTATGGTGCTTTTTCTGGGCTCACCCATGGCCTCCCATGGATCAATCAGTATCTACTTCCTCCCCTCTGAAGTCCATAAAAATGCAGGACTCAGCCAAACTCAGGCAAAGAATGGGATGACCTGCTGTGGAGAGGAGCTACCCACTGTGGGTATCCTCTCTTCTGAGAGCTGGATACTCATCAGGACAACCTGTCTGCAGAGAGGAGCTACCAGTACTCAGTGAGTCTCATCTGAGCTGTTCTGTTGCTCAGTAAAGCACCTCTTTGCCTTGTTCACCCTCCACTTGTCTGTGTAACTCATTCTTCCTGGACACTGGGCAAGAACTCAGGACCTGCTGAATGGTGAGGCTGAAAGAGCTGTAACACAAACAGGGTTGAAACCCTTGCTCACCACATTGTAGGTGACAAGGCAAAGAGAGAAGAGCTGTAGTCCTTCAGGAAGCCCAGACCTAGGAGCTCCCTGAGCCAGGGCTATGACACTTGGGGCTCTTCGGTTTCTGGCACTACCGCATTCCCCAGTGCCAGCCATGGAAGCTGTCAGCAGATGCCTGGTTCAGCCACAGCCACGCAAGGAGTTAGCACCTGTGCTGTGCCTGGAGCTGCTGGCCCTGCTGCAGCCAGCATGCCAGGCTGTGCATAGTGGCCAGACCCCATGATCATATGGGATCCAGGCCGGTAGCATAAACCTAGCACAGCCTGCCAAGGCTGAGTGGGTGAAATGAGTCCAGCAGGCCCAAGCAAAAGTTGGGCAAAGGTGCCACCAACCACAGAGGTTTTCTGCTGGAAAAGCAGTTCAAGGATTCTGTGACAGTAGTCACCTTTATTACAGTTTCCTGTGTTTCCTTCTAGATACTTTCTTACACATATAAAAGCAAATGCATAAGTCAAAAGAAGCATTTAGAAAAGTGAAGAAAAGCTTTCCTTGCAAATTGCGAAAGAAAGTCAGACTTCAGAAGGATTGGCTTACCAAATAAAAAATAAGTATAGTCATCTTGGCTGGGCACAGTGGCTGATGCCTGTGAGGCCAGCACTTCAGGAGGCTGAGGCAAGTTTCCGCCTCACTGAGGTCAGGAGTTCAAGACTAGCCTGGCCAACATGATGAAACCCAGTCTGTACTAAAAATACAAAACTTAGCTGGGCATGGTGACACGTGCATGTATTTCCAGCTGCTTGGGAGACTGAGGCACAAGAATCACTTGAACTGGGAGGCAGAGGTTGAAGTGAGCCAGGATTGTGCCACTGCACTCCAGCCTGAGTGACAGAGTGAGATTCTGTCTCAAAAAAAAAAAAAAAAAAAAGATAGTGATCCCTTGGTATACTTGTGGGATTGTTACCAGGACCCCTGCATATATCAAAATTTGTGCATACTCAAGTGCTGCAGTCAACCCTATAGAAATCATGTATAGGAAAAGTTCGCCCTCCATAAGTGTGGTTTTACATCTCACAAATACTGTATTTTTTATCCATATTTGGTTTTAAAATGGGCCAGGCACAGTGGCTCATGCCTGTAATCCCCCTGCTTTGGGAGGCCAAGTTGGGCAGATCACTGGAGGCAGGAGTTTGAGACCAGCCTGGCCAATATGGTGAAACCCCATCTCCACTAAAAACACAAAAGTTAGCCAGTGTGGTGGCATGTGCCTGAATCCCAGCTCCTCGGGAGACTGAGGCACAAGAATTGCTTGAACCCAGGAGTCAGAAACTGTGGTGAGCTGAGATCATACCACTGCACTCCAGCCTGGGCAACAGAGCAAGACTTTGTATCAAAAAAAAAAAAAAAAAGATTCACATATGTATAAGTGGACCCATGCAATTCAAATTTGAATAGTGGCATGCTTCTCAGTGCCACCTTCTTGGGAGGCTGAGGCACGAGAATTGCTTGAACTTAGGAGGCAGAGGCTGCAGTGAGCCAAGATTGCACCACTGCACTCCAGCCTGGGCAACAGAGCAAGATTCTGTCTCAAAAAAAAAAAAAAAGAAAGATTCACATTAAGTGGAAACATACAATTCAAATTGTGTTGTTCAAGGGTCAAGTGTATTTATAAGAAACAACACAAAATTGCCAACGTTACCCCATTTACATTAACCTATTCATGGCAAAACTGCAGGTTTCTTCGATTGATTCTCAGATATACAAAGGTTATAAAATATCTTCAGACATCAGCATAATAAACATTAGGGATAAAAGTACTTTTCTTTTCTGTCTTTCTTTTGTTTTGAGATGGAGTTTTGCTCCTGTTGCCCAGGCTGTAGTGCAATGTTGCAATCTCGGCTCACTGTAACCTCTGCCTCCTGGGTTCAAGTGATTCTCCCACCTCCAAGTAGCTGGGATTACGGGTGCCTGCCACCACACCTGGTTAATTTTTGTATTTTTAGTAGAGAATGGGTTTCACTATGTTGGCCAGGCTGGTCTTGAACCCCTGACCCCAGGTGATCCACCTGCCTCAGCCCCCCAGAGTGCTGGGATTACAGGTGTGAGCCACTGTGCCTGGCCAATAATGGTACTTTTCTTTATGATATCCAGATTTTCAGGAAGTATTCAAAGTTTTGTTATTTTTGGAACTAGAATCTGTTGGGAAAAAACTGCTATTTTTGCTTTATTTCAAGTTATTAATGTTTTGTTTGTTTGTTTGAGACAGAGTCTCACTCTGTCACCCAGGCTGGAGTGCAATGGCACAACCTCCACTCACTGCAACCTCTGCCTCTTGGGTTCAAGCTATTCTCATGCCTCAGCCACCTGAGTAGCTGGGATTACTGGCACATGTCACCAGGCACTGCTGATTTTTTGTGTTTTTAGTAGAGACAGGATTTCACCATACTGACCAGGCTGGTCTCTAACTCCAGACCTTAAGTGATCCACCCACCTCAGCCTCCCAAAGTGCTGGGATTACAGGTGCGAGCAACTGCAGCCAGCCTGTTTTTTGTTTTTTAAACTGGGTGTATAAAGTGTTTAATCAGACAGACATATATGCACTAACTAATACATACATGCATTCTTTCCCCATCATTTTTGTTACACAAATGTAAAGAGTGCATACTTACACATACTCTTTGCAACTTGCTTTTACTTTGTGGTGTATTTTGGAGATTTTTCCACATTACATAAAGAGCAGTCTCACTCTTTTTCTTTGTTTCTACTTGCTGTATAATGTGACATTGTATGGACATACTTTAATATATACTTATTAATTATATTAATGAACACATAAATTTGTGAAGGACATAGAAGATGATATGGCACACTTGCAGATATTTCTTGAATTAGCTGATAATCCGCTGATGGAAACATTTAATAGAATAATTTGTTAAATGGGGATGGTCGAATTATTTTTCATTGTCTGACTCTAAATATTTAAAATAGTAGAGATGAGGCTAACACTATTGGTGAAACACTGTGCAGTATCTTTTCTCATCATTATGGTTAGTAAAAATTAGTACTTGGCCAGGCGCAGTGGCTTATGCCTGTAATCCTAGCACTTTGGGAGACTGAGACAGGCAGATCATGGGGTTGGGAGTTCAAGACCAGCCTGACCAACATGATGAAACCCCGTCTCTACTAAAAATACAAAAATTAGCCGGGCATGGTGGCAGGCACCTGTTATCTCAGCTACTCAGGAGACTGAGGCATGAGAATAGCTTGAAACTGGGAGAAAGAGGTTGCAGTGAGCCAAGATTATGCCATTGCACTCCAGCCTGGGCGACAGAGAGAGACTCCATCTCAAAAAAAAGTTCATACTTTTCTTAGATGTATATTTTAATTTAGATCAGACATTTTATTTTAGATATTCAGATTATATTTTATGTTTTGGTTTAAATAATTAATTCTTAACCCTGGCTGCAAATTACAGTCACTAGGAAAGCATGTGAAACAACAATGACAATGGCTAAGTGCTAACCCATGTAAACTATGTAAGAATTGTAAGAATTTACTTTTAAAATAGTACCAATGCCAGATGTCTCTTTTTTTGTTTGTTTCTTTTTTTTTAGACAGGGTCTCACTCTGTCACCCAGGCAGGAATGCAATGGTACGATTATTGAGGCTCATTGTAGCCTCAACCTCCTAGGCTCAAGTGATCCTCCTGTCTCAGCCTCCTGAGTAGCTGGGACCACAGGCACATGCCACCATGCTCAGCTAATTTTTACATTTTTTTTTAGAGTTGGAGGTCTCACTTTGTTGCCCAGCCTGGTTTGAACTCCTGGCCTCAAGCAGCACTCCTGCCTTGGCCTCCCAAAGTGTTGGGATTACAGGTGTGAGCCACTGCACGGAGTCTAGTTTTTTTTTTTCTTTAACCCCAGATGATTTTAATATGGATCTAGGGTTGAGAATCATGGATTGAGGTTATGTTAGTCAGTATTTGGATCTTAGTACTGGATCAATGTAACTATTTATATGTAATTTATCTTATCTTTTATACTTTATTAATAATAAAGTACCCATAATTTTAAGGTGGTGATAGTAGTTGCAATAGTAGTCATACTTATAGTAGCAACAGTAGTAGTAGGAAAAATAGTGTGAGCAAATCCATTAAAAGAATGCCCTATAGATGGAGCAGAATGAAATCATGGCACACATATAGAGAACAGAAGTCTCTGTTTTATATTTTACAGGACAAGGAATTTAGGAATCAAGCAGAGTGCATAAAGAAAAGGATTATTTGGGACTTGGAAAGTCGCTGCTACCTTGATCCTCCTGCAGTGGTCAGGTAAGAATAGGAAGGAAGTATGTCTAATCCACAAAGGCTTGTAAGTGGGAAGAAATGTTACTTTTGTTAATTTTATTTATATTTGAGTTAAGGTGATTTTCTATTGAGACTTTCTTATTTATCACATCTATATGTTAGAGTGATGTTGTGTTCATCTGCTAGTAACGGAAACACCCAGTGATGGTGGTTTAACCAAGGTGAGTGCTTACTCCTCTTTTATATAAAAGAAGTCCAGCTGCACCTGGTGGCTCATGCCTATGATGCCAGCAGTTTGAGAGGCTGAAGCAGGTTCAAGACCAGTCTGGGCAACAAAGCAAGACCCTGGCTCTATACACACACACACACACACACACACACACACACACACACACACAAACCCGTTTGGTGCAGATTTGCACCTGTAGGCTTAGCTACTTGTGAGGATGAGGTGGTAGAATTGATTGAGCCCAGGAGGGTGAGGCTGCAGTGGGCTGTGATTGTACCACTGCACTCCAGCCTGGGCAATGGAGTGATACCTTTTCTCTTAAAAAAAAAAAAAAAGGACTGGGCATGGCGGCTTATGCCTATAATCCCAGTACTTTGGGAGGCCAGGGCGGGTGGATCACCTGAGGTCGACAGTTTGAGACCAGTCTGACCAACATGGAGAAATGCCATCTCTACTAAAAATACAAAATTAGCCAGGTATGGTGACACATGCCTGTAATCTCAGCTACTTGGGGGGCTGAGGCAGTAGAATTGCTTGATCCCAGGAGCCGGAGGTTGCAGTGAGCCAAGATCATGTCATTGCACTCCAGCCTGGGCAACAAGAGAGAAACTCCGTCTCAAAAAAAAAAAAAAAAAAGAGGCAGCTGGGTGCAGTGGCTCACACCTGTAATCCCAGCACTTTGGGAGGCCAAGATGGGTGGATCATGAGGCCAAGAGATCAAGACCATCCTGGCCAACATTGTGAAACCTCATCTCTACTAACTATACAAAAAATAGCTGGGCATGGTGGCATGCGCCAATAGTCCCAGCTACTTGGGAGGCTGAGGCAGGAGAATCACTTGAACCTGGGAAGCGGAGGTTGCAGTGAGCCAAGATTGTGCTACTGCACTCCAGCCTGTAGACATAGCAAGACTCCGTTCCCCCACCCCCAAAAAAGTCCAGAACTGGTATGTATGTTGCTTACACGGTGTTATTAGATATCCAGGCTCCATCTTTCTTTTTGCTCCACCTTCATTAATATGTAACTTCATCCACAAGGTTGTCTTATGGTCCAAAGTTGGCTGCTGGAGCTCCAGCTTGTAGACTCAACATTTCTGGCAGAAATTTGGAAGAGGAGAATGATTATGGATAAAAAAGGACACATGCTGGCTGTCTTGAACCCTCTTGTGTAACCTTCCTGGAATCTGGCAACTTCTGTTTATATCTCATTAGCTAACCTCTGGATGCAAGAAGGCTAGACAATAAAGTATTTTAGTTGAACACATTGTCACCCAGGCTAAATCAAGATTTAAGTACTAAAGAACAGGTATGCTGATATTGTGTAGGTAACTATCAGTCTTGGTCACACTGACCTGGTCATTAGGTAGAGATGAGAATTGGGGGATTATCAATCTATATGCAATCTGAATGAACAACTCGGACATTAAACAAAGAATAGTCTGTTTTTTTAGAGCAGCTTTAGATTTATAGAAAAATTGAGCAGAAAAAATGAGCAGATATTTTAGTTTTTATATGCCCCTGGTCCCCTACTTGGTCATGGTGTGTAATTAGTTATTTTTGTACATTGTTAGATTGGATTTGCTAATATTTTATTGAGGATACATTGTTGGCATTATTACTTTGAACAAATAGTTATTGGATCTATTAAGAATGAAAAACATGAAAAAATTTATTTTACCTTCATTTATGACATTTCCTGATGCTCTTTTTTATGTTGATACAAGTTTCTGACTCATGTCATTTTCCTTAGGAACTTATAGCTTTTCTTATAAGGCACGTCTCCTTGCCAGAAACTCCTCTAATTTTTGTTTCTTCTAAAAAGGGTTTATTTCTCCTTCACTTTTGAAGGGTAATTTTAGTAGGTACAGAATTCTAAGTCAATGGGTTTTTCTTTCACAGCTTTGAATATTTTTCTCTATTCTCTTCTTCCTTCATGGTTTCTGAAGAGAAGTCTAATATATTTCTAATCCTTGTTCCTCTATAGGTAAAAGTGTTTTTTCCGCTGGCTTTTTTCAAGATTTTCTTTTTTGCAGTTTGCAAATGATATGCCTACATAAAGCTTTTTGTTCGTTTGTTTTTGTACTTAGTCTACTTGGTATTCTCTGAGATTCCTGGATCTGTGGTTTGGTGTCTGTAATTAATTTTGGAAAATTCTCAGCTATTATTACTTCAAATATTGCTTGCTTTTTTTTTTTTTGAGATGGAATCTTGCTCTGTTGCCAAGGCTGGAGTGCAGTGGCGTGATCTTGGCTCACTGCAACCTCCACCTCCCGGGTTCAAGTGATTCTCCTGCCTGAACCTCCCTGAGTAGCTGGAATTACAGGCATGTACCACCATTCCCGGCTAATTTCTGTATTTTTAGGAGAGATAGATGGGTTTCACCATGTTGGCCAGGCTGACCTCAGGTGATCCACCCGCCTGGGCCTCCCAAAGTGCTGGGATTACAGGTGTGAGCCACCATGCCTGGCCTACTTCAAATATTTCTTCTGCTCTTTTCTTTCTTATCCTTCTGTTATGCTTAGTTACACCTTTTGTAATTGTTCCACAAGTCTTGGATATTCTGTTATGATTTTTTTTTTCCTTTGTGTTTCAGTTTGGGGCATTTCTATTCACATATACCCACGTTCACTGATTTTTTTTTTTTCCTTAGCGATGTCCAGTCAGCTGATAAGCCCATCAAATGAATTATTCATTTTTGTTTGTGTTTTTGATATCTAGCTTTTCCTTTTGATTCTTTCTTAGAGTTTCCATCTCTGCTAACATTACCTATCTGTTCTTGCATGTTACCTACTTTTCTCATAAGAGTCTTTAACGTAATCATAGTTACTTTCAATTTCCTTTCTGATAATTCTAAAATCTATGTTGTATCTTAGTCCAGTTCTTATGCTAGCTTTGGCTATTTGGACTGTATTTTTTTCTTGACTTATAGCATTCTTCATAGCTTTTTAATTTGAAAGCTAGACATTGTGTATTAGTTAATAGGATTCGGGGTAACTAGTATTTTTAGTGTGAAGTTTTATGTTAATCTGGTTAGAAGCTGGGTTGTGTTTCTTGTTTGTTGTAGTTTTAAGTGCCAGAGGCTTCAGTTTCCTTTTTCTCCTACCTCCCCTGTTATCTTTGGATTTGTCCAAGAACTTCTCTAATAGAGTGGTTTGTAGCCCTCTCAGTTGTAATTCATTGTTATTATGTTGAAACTGTTGATGTGGTGGCACATTGTTGGGAAGTGATTAAGTCTCAGTAAATAGGTTTGGGTCCTTGGGCTGTGACTTTCAGAAGTGTTTCATAATCTTTTTTTTCTCCTATCCTTATGGAAGATAAGACAGGTTGGAGTTGTCTAAATTCCCTCCCCTGAGATCAGATAAGGATCTGATAAAGTAGTTTACCTTAAAGGTCAACCCTTTGATAGGAAGAACACTGTGGCCATATTTCAAAATGGTTATTTTTCTTCTCTCCCTGCCTGAAATATTAGGGTATTTTTCTTCCATCTTCACTGTGAGAACTTGGTGGGGCTCTTGGATTTAAAACTTATGTTAAGTGTGGGAACCCTTAACAGTGGGCGCCCTGGAGTTTTTAACTTCCATCTAGTCCACTTAACTTCCATTCAGCCTATAGCAATTTGTCAAAATTACCATTAAACTATATCTACCAGTTACTGGCACCACTGGCTTCTGCTGTCTTTAAGCTGATTGCAGCCGTGATCCTCTGAATTATCCCGTCTCCCTCAATTTTAGCATGGCAGTTTTTGCCTTATGACCTCAGTTCTATGAAGGATCTGAGAAATGTTGTTTATTGCCATTTGATCAACACTTTTCTTGTCGTAAGGACGGGAGGGATTACTTCAAAGCTGGAAACTGGACACTATTTTCACAGTAGAAATAAACAATTTTATACCATTTGTAAACTTGTCTCATTATTTCTGTATAATAAATCACTAGAAGTGGAATTTATAATTAAGATTATGGATTTTTAAAGGTTTTTAAATTTATGTTTCTAAATTGCTCTAAAAATGTTCAATTTGCCTCTGCTAGCAGTTGAGCAGAATTATTTTTGGAATGTTATAGATATGGGAAAGTTTTAAAAACCACCAAACTGATAAGGTTTTTTTTTTTTATTCTGAGTCAGGGTCTCACTCTGTGGCCCAGGTGAGAGTGCAGTGGGACGATCACGGCTCACTGCAGACTTGACCTCTTAGGCTCAAGCCATCCTCCCACTTCAGCCTCCCCAAATAGCTGAGACCACAGGTATTTGCTGCCATGCCCAGCTAATTTTTTTTTTTTTGTATATTTCATAGAGATGGAATTTTGCATGTTGCCCAGACTGGTCTTGAATAGCTAGGCTCAAACCATCTGCCTGCCTCAGCCTCTCAAAGTGCTGGCATTTACAGGCATGAGCCACTGAGTCTGGCTCCCCAATTTTTATATGTGTACATTCTATATTACTTTCTGAAAGAGAATATTTCCCTTTAACCTAAATTATACTGACTTTAATTTTGCATATAATGCTAATGGACTGATTCTTGATTTGCAGTTTTCAGAAGCGAATCGCTGATTGCTGGCTTTGGCCTGTAGAGATCACAAGAGTTCCTCTGATTACTGTATCCAAAGGGAAAGCTGGCAAAACTGAAAAGGTAAATATGGCCCCTCAGAAATATTTATATAAGAAGTGTAGAATCAGACCCAGCCTGTTATTCTGCTTCAATTCTGATACCAAAGAGAAAATGTGAACTAATATAGCTGTTTTCCCTAGGGTGACCTGCTCATCCTAATTTACCCTGAACTTCATTTGTTTTAGCACTGAAAGTTTCATTCCCACGAAACTCCTCTGTCCTGGGAAAACCAGGATTATTGGCCACCCTAGTTCCCCATTGTTCACTAAAAACTCTCTAGGCTTTATTACCAGATACCCTATTTCTCTTTTGCCCTTAACAATAGTTTTACCATAGGTTAAATTTACCTACTTAAAATGTTTAAGCCTGCTAATTAGTATAATAGGGATCTTAGATATAGTACTATTTTGAAAAGGTATAGCTTTGATGAGCCTAGTACATATTATCTATTGTTTTACCTGTGCATGTCTGGTCTTTTCTGCTTGTTCATAAACTGCTGGAGGGTAGGAGTCATGTAGTAGACTGATTTGTATTCTCCACGGTACCTAGCATGATGTATGGCAAATAGCAGATACTTAATAAGTATCTAAATTGTTTGGCTGACTTTAAACATAGGCTTTTTGCATAATAAAAATGCTACTACTATATACCCATTTCTCCGTTTGTAGTATATAATAAGTATTGGCTAACTTTCCTTAGATTGCTAAACTGTGTGTTATCACATCAACTTTTAAATCTAGTTGCTAATTATTATTATAATAGGTGAAATCAAAGAGATTACTTTTATGCTTGGAATTAAATGTATTTTCTTTCACAAAACTGATTTTTTCCCTATAAAAATTTTCTGTGGCAAATAATACAACCGTTAAAAATGCTGTTAAGATATATTTATTAACCTGTTCTTCATCTTTGCAATGAGATCAAGTATGGTAAATACAGGACAGGAGACTGTTATTCATCTGCCTTCATCTGTAGTAGATAGTGCTAATCTATCAAGGCACTCTTTGCCTTTGAACCCAGATTAAAAACACAGAATTTTTCTCAACCAACCATACTAAAACACCTCCACCAATTAATGAGAGTTGAGACATAAGGTAAAGCCTATTTGTCATCACTGGTCCAGATAATTTGTAAGGCCCCTTTTATTTGTATGAGTCTGTGAACTAAAGCTAAAAGCCATAGCTTTTGATTTTTTATAAGTTTTTTGTTATTGTTATTATTGTTGCTTTTTATAAAGCTTTACTTTCTCCTAAGAAGCCACATGGTGAAATTGACCTTTTGGTTGATATATATATTATCAATTGAGTATTAATTAATTAATTTGATATTTCCTGAGGTTCTTTTTAACTTGATACAAGTGTCTGCTTGTATCAGCTACTGCTTTTACTATTAACACTGTTTGTATGCATTATCTCAGTGATCATCATATTATTAAACCCATTTTGAAGATAAAGAAGGCCCAAAATGTCTTATGGTACTTACTAGCTAAGTAGCAGAGTTAGTTTCTAAAACTAGGCCTTTGAACTGCTGAGTCAGAGCTCCATACCTTATACTATATTGCTTATAGCACTAATAACTCTCTGGTTTTATTCCTTTAGACTGATGAAGAAGGTCAGCTTTCGTTTCATGGTGTGGCTTATGTTAATATGGTCCCATTGTTGTATCCAGGTGTGAAGAGAATTCGGGGAGCTTTTCAGGTTTACCCTTACCTAGACAGTGTAGTCCATGAAAAGGTAAGAAAAAATTGCATAAAAAGCATCCTGGTAATTTATCATTTATATATGTGTTTACTTGCATCTTTAGCATATATGTCTTTGCAATTGATATTTAGAACCAGTTGGTATACTAGGCTATTAAATATATAGCTTTTTTTTTTGAGACGGAGTTTCGCTCTTGTTACCCAGGCTGGAGTGCAATGGCGCGATCTCGGTTCACTGCACCCTCCGCCTCCTGGGTTCAAGCAGTTCTCCTGCCTCAGCCTCCTGAGTAGCTGGGACTACAGGCGTGCACCACCATGCCCAGCTAATTTTTATATTTTTAGTAGAGATGGGGTTTCACCATGTTGACCAACATGGTCTCGATCTCTTGACCCCGTGATCCACCTGCCTCGGCCTCCCATAGTGCTGGGATTATAGGCATGAGCCACTGCGCCCGGCCATATATAGCTTTACAGTCATTCTGCATTAGAACTTAAAAAATTTAGGACAATGAAAAGGCAAAAACTGAAAACAACCTAAATCTCTATCAACAGGTGAACAGAGAACACAGAAAACAAATTGTGTGGTTCCTCTGTACAATGGAATACTATTCAGCAATAAAAAGGAATGAACTAAGGATACATGCAACAGCACGAATGAGTCTCAAATGCATTGTGCTAAAAGAAAGAAGGCAGACAAAAGAGAGAAAAGAGAGTATTTTTTTTTTTAAAAGAGATATGGGTCTCGCTTTGGAGTGCAGTGGCACAATCATAGCTGACTACTGCCTCAAATTCCTGGGCTCAAGGGATCCTCCTACCTCAGCCTTTTGAGTAGCTGGGACTGCACCACTGTGCCTGGCTATTTAAAAAAAATCTTTTTATAGAGACAGGGTTTTGGAAAGTACATTCTACATAATTACATTTATATGCAATACTGATAAAGTAATTTATCTATATTGATAAAAAGCAAATTAATGGTTACCTGGGAACAGGGATAAAGGAGGGATGGATTGCAAAGGAATGAGAGGAAAATATTAGGGATGATGGCAATGATGGTTATCTTGATTGTGGTGATGGCTTCAGAGGTATACACATATGTCAAAATTGACGAAATTGTATACTTTAAATACTTTTGGTTTATTTTTATTGTACTTCAATTTTACCTCAATAAATTTGAATACAAAACTTTTAGCATAAGTGTTGTGGCTGGGTTTGGTAACTCACACGTGTAATCCCAGCACTGTGGGAGGTAGAAGTGGGCAGATTGCCTGAGGCCAAGAATTCGAGACCAGCCTGGCCAACATGACAAAACCCCATCTCTACTAAAAACACAAAAATTTGCCGAGCCCAGTACTTGTAGGCGGAGGTTGCATGAGCCAAAATTGCACCTCTGTACACCACCCTGGGTGACAGAGCAAGACTCTCTCAAAAAATATAAATAAGAAAAAGAAAAAAAAGTCTGTGGTGTTAAGTATGGAAAAACTGAAATCCATGTGGTAATTAATGAACTAGAATTTTTTTTCCATTTTTAGGTGTTAAAATGTTAAAATCATATATATGTATTCAAGCAAAAGGCAGTTTTATCATGTTGCTTCCCAGGAGAGAGTGAGGCTTTGTAAAACACACAACAATAACAAAAATATACTATTATGTCACTGTTATTAGGACAGCTATTTTTCAACAATAAATTCATGAAAACCTCATCATCTAGTTGTAAATGAATAGTAAATTGTTTCTACAACAATATCTTTTGAACTAGAAGCCACATTTATAGGAATTTATTTAATTATTTACTTATTTAATTATATATTTTTTGAAATGGAGTTTCACTCTTGTTGTCCAAGCTGGAGTACAATGGCATGATCTCAGCTCACTGCAACCTCCACCTCCTGGGTTCAAGTGATTCTCCTGCCTCAGCCTCCTGAGTAGCTGGGATTATAGGCGTGCACCACCACACTCAGCTAATTTATTGTATTCTTAGTAGAAACAGGGTTTTACCACGTTAGCCAGGCTGGTCGTGAACTCCTGGCCTCAGGTGATCTGCCTGTCTCAGCCTCCCCAAGTACTAGAATTACAGGTGTGAGCCACTGTGCCCAGCCAGGAATTTATTTTAAGGACATAATTTAATAAGTTCAAAAATCTCATATTCATGAAACTTTTTGAAACCTATAATAGCAAAAACTAAAATAAGGTTAAATGTTTACTAATAGAGGAATGCTTAGTAAATCATAGTAAATAAAAATGATGAAATGTGTAGCCATTAAAAAGGATAATTATTAATGCTTTATAGGTCAGGTATCACGGTTCATGCATGTAATCCCAGCACTTTGGGAGGCCGAGGCAGGCAGGTTACAAGGTCAAGAGATTGAGACCATCCTGGCCAACATGGTGAAACCCAGTCTATATTAAAAATACAAAAATTAGCTGGATGTGATGGCACGCACCTGTAGTCCCAGATATTCGGGAGGCTGAGGAAGGAGAATCGCTTGAACCAGGACGTGGAGGTTGCAGTGAACGGAGATGGCGACTCTGCACTCCAACCTGGAGACAGAGCGAGACTCCATCTCAAAAACAGAGAAAAGGATTATTAATGCTTTATAGATAGTTAAATGGGAAAGAAGGCTGGGCATGGCGGCTCACACCTGTAATCCCAGCACTTCAGGAGACTGAAGTGGGAGGATCAGTTGAGCCCAGGAATTCAAGACCAGCCAGGGCAACATGGTGGGACCCCATCTCTACAAAATTGTTTTGTAAATTAGCAGAGTATGGTGGCACATGCCTGTAGTCTTCGAGACTCCAGAGGCTGAGGTAAGAGGATTGATTGAGCCCAGGAGGTCAAGGCTGCAGTAAGCTGTGATTGTGCCTGAGTGACAGAGTGACACCTGTCTCAAAAAAAATTAAAAATAAAAAAGATAAATGACAAAAAAGAATGCAAAAGTGTTGCATATAACATAGATCAAAATAAATTTCAAATGAATTTATTAAAATAAGTTAAATGTGGCTAGACACGGTGGCTCACGCCTGTAATCCTAGCACTTTGGGAGGCCAAAGCAGGTAGATCACAAGGTCAGGAGATCAAGACCAGCCTGGTAAACATGGTGAAACCTTGTCTCTACTAAAAATACAAAAATTAGCTGGGTGTGGTGGTGCATACCTGTAATCCCAGCTACTTGGGAGGCTGAGACAGGAAAATAGCTTGAACCAGAACCAGGGAGTTGGGAGGATGCAGTGAACTGAGATCGTGCCACTGCACTCTAGCCTGGAGATAAAGGGAGACTCTGTCTCAACAAAAAAAAAAAAAAAAAAAAAAAAGAAAGAAAGAAAGAAAGAATGAAAAAGAAAAGTTAAATGTGAAGACTATAAAAATGAGTATTAATTAAAGATACAGGCTGGGCGCAGTGGCTCAAGCCTGTAATCCCAGCACTTTGGGAGGCCGAGGCGGGTAGATCACGAGGTCAAGAAATTGAGACCATCCTGGTCAACACGGTGAAACCCCGTCGCTACTAAAAATGCAAAAAATTACCTGGGCACGGTGGCGCATGCCTGTAATCCCAGCTACTCAGGAGGCTGAGGCAGGAGAATTGCCTGAACCCAGGAGACGGAGGTTGTGGTGAGCCGAGATCGCGCCATTGCACTCCAGCCTGGGTAACAAGAGCGAAACTCCGTCTCAAAATAAATAAAAAAAAAAATAAAGATACAAATGAAGAGAAAATTTCCTAGGCTTGAAAGCAATGAAAAGTATAAAAGAAAGTATTTTGTTTACCAAAAATGTGAAGCTTCTATATATAAAATAATCTTCATATACAAAATTACAATGTAACTGAAGAACTAGGGAAAATATTTGAATACACATCAGAAAGATAGCTACTATTTCTGAAATATAGTAGTTTCCTGAAGGATAGCTACTGTTCCTGAAATATAGTAGTTTTTTTCAGTCTAGAAGAATAACAAACTTTATGCAAAGCACATGAAATAGTAGTTCACAAAAGAAGTGCCAGTGGCCAGCAGATATACGAAGAGACATCTGGCCTTACTTATTAATCAAGGAATTACAAATTTAAATAACAATAGTTGTCATTTTACTTAAAAAGCTTGACAATTCTTTAAAATACGATAATGCCCATTGGTGGCAAAGGTGTGATAATGTTATAGAATCAAACCGATGTCTGCTCACCTGATGCAGTAAAACCACGTATCTGCACCGGGGTTTGCAGTGATAGAAATAAAGGCTTTCCCTGCAGGGTGCCAAGCAAGGAGGACCAGGCAGTTAAATTTTCAAATCCTGACTTCCCTATGGCTTGCAGGCAATGGTTTTTTAAAGGTAGAGGTAAATTTCAGGAAAGCAGAAGCTACAGGCAAAATCATAAATCAATACATGCAAGTTACACATTGGTTTAAGCTTAAATATGTTGAAGCAGGGGTTGGAGGTTGCAAGTGGTAGGTAGATTCAAAGATTTTCTGATTTGCAATTGTTAAGGAAGAGAGGCTTTGTTTAAAAATTTGGGGTCAGTAGAAAAATGTTAACTGGCTAGAGGGAGTGACTTTCTCCAAGCACCCCAGGAAGAAATTTAGAACAAAGGACTATATAGTTCAATCTTCACTTTCCCCTTAGCTGGGGTCTGATCCATTCAGCTGATCTGAGTGCAGTACTGGCTAATCCTTTCAGTGGTTCCTCAGTGGGGTCTGAGGCTCAGAAAGACAACTCAGGGACATATATTAAGATGTTATATTTAGTTTCTATAAAGCAAACATCTCTTGAACTTTAACTTCCTTGACTATTATTTTAGGCTAGTATTACCTTCTTGTTTAAGTTACTTATTTATTTCTGGGGCTAGCTAGGTGCCTAGAATTCCTGTTGAAGGAACTTCAGAATTTTTCATTATTTCCATGCCTCAGGGGCACAGGCCTCTAAAAAGAGGATTCTTGCTCCATCTCTGTAAAACAACTTTCATTTACTGCTAGTAAAAGCATAAATTGGTAAAAACTTTTTGCAAAAATGTTTATTGTCCATATGTATTCAGAAGCTTGAAATACTTA